CCCTCCCCCCGGCCCCTTAAGAAACTTCTTCTTTTTAAACCTAGGGCAGTCCTTTCATTTCTTCACTCTTTTTTTTTACACCGACGAGGGATGAAGGGGTGAGTTTGAGGGAGCAAGAGCGGTTATACATAATGCAGAGAAGCCCTCAGGCGGTACTATACGAATTACGAAAAAAAAAAGGAGAATAAAAATGGCGGTACACCTCGTTCCTCTGGTCGTTAAGAGGGATGACTTGTTTTATTTGTGCAAGTGGATGGAAATGAATGGTCACTCAATCGAATATTCAGGAGTTCAATAAGAATTCAATTAAAATTTGTTTAAGTGGGAAAATATTTATCGAAGTCATTCGGTAGAATTGAATTTAGTTGACTTGTCATTCATGACGCGGAATTATTAATAATTAATAATCGTTAATTGAATATAATTAATTAATGGAGGAATTCATTCAGTAAAAGTCCAGATCAAAATTTCACGCAATGAAAATTCAACGAATTAATTAGTCAATTCGCTTGAATAATTAATTCATTTAATTTTTAATGCCTCGATGTGTTTTTTAATGTGCAGCAAAAAAGCACGGCTAAAAATAAAAAAAAAAGGGGATGGAAAATAGCGGAAATATTCCCGACAATAATTCAATGAAAATTTGTTTGACTGGGAAAATATTTATCGAAGTCATTCGATAGAATTGAATTTAGTTGACTTGTCATTCATGACGCGGAATTATTAATAATTAATAATCGTTAATGGAATATAATTAATTAATGGAGGAATTCATTCAGTAAAAGTCCAGATCGAAATTTCCCGCAATGAAAATCCAACGAATTAATTAGTCAATTCGGTTGAATAATTAATTCATTTAATTTTTAATGCCTCGATATGTTTTTTAATGTGCAGCAAAAATGCACGACTTAAAATAAAAAATAGGGGATGGAAAATAGCGGAAATAATCCCGACATTGTAAATAGTGCGCGTTACCCACAAGTAAACAATAAAAAAAACCTTTAAACAGTTAAAAAAAACCCGAGTAATTCTCCCTCTCACTGTTTATCGCTCATTTCTCCCTGGAATTTTTACCCACTTCTCCGTTTTTTTCCCTTTTACTTCTTGCCATTCTCTTTATTCCTTAAGGCCAATTGTTAGTGAGTTCCTCTCAACCGTTTTTTTCTTTTTTTTTTTACCAACGACTCCATTGTACCCTAAGACCACCGACTATTGGCGGATGACCACCGACAAAACCCACCATTTTTTATTCTCCCTTTTTTATTATTTCTCCGCAATTCTATTTCTCGTTCTCCACCACCAGAAAATATATTTATCGACTGTTTGACTTACCGATTGGAGCGTTTCCGTTATTTCGCGTATATAGACACTCGACTGATCGATTCTCAACTCCAGGGGTTTTCGTTTACTTTAGGTAATCGGGTATCCATTCAGGTCTCTGTACACATTGAAAAATGGAGTTTAAATTTTTTACGGAATCAGCGTAATTCGTATTTATTCAGATTTAAAACTAGAGAAATCTTACAATGAAATTCACTGGCTGTTATATCAGAATTTTTCGTGTGGAAATGAGGAAAGTTTTATTGTGATACTATTTCCTGGAAATTTCAGGACATGGCCTCGAGACTTATCAGGGAATCGGCAGTTCCGAGAAATTTATTCCAGAATTTTGTAAACACTGAAATTACAGATTTTCGTGGGAATTGAAAGATTTCATTGAAAATTCAGGAAAATCTGCGATTTCATTGATTTGACATTGGAGTTTTCAATAATAATAATCTATCATTGTAAAATTCAATGGGTCCTATATTTTTTCGCGAGTTCAATTAGATTGTCAAATGAATCGTTTGATTTCACACAGACTTCACATAGGACTTCCGACATTTAGAATTCATACCCAGCTGTCCGGGTAAAAAAAAATTGTGATCGGAATATTTTTTCCAAATTTTCGAAAAATTCTGGAAAACTCTGCAGAAATTTTTTTTTATCAAACAAAAGAAAATTCGAAAAAAAAACAAATTTATATTTGGAAAAGGTTTTGAAAATTTTTTCAACAAATTGAATATGGAAATTTATAGGGGGAATTAACTCTCATGGAGTGATTTAAAATTTTTTCATCTTTTGAAAAATCAAGGCTTGAAAAATGTTTTCAAAAATTCACTAACGGCGCAATAATGAAAATTCCTGGAGAAAGTGAAGAGTTCTGAGAAGCGGATCGAACGAAAAGTTTCCCAGAATTTTTTTGAAAATTTGGAAAAACTATTCTGATTACAATGTTTTTTTACCCGGGTGTTAGTGAAAATATGAAAAAAATTGTAACAGTAACTTCTCCCATTTCTCTTTCGGGTTTTTCATTTTTTTGAGGACTCGGGTGTCCGTATACATCCTCATTCCCTCCCATTCCCATCCAGAGGATGCAAACACGGTTTGCATACAGCTAGTGTAAATACTCCCAGAAAAAAATTGTAAAACCAAAGAAAAAACGACCGGAAACAAAAATTCACCTTCATTCCCACAGAAACGAGTGAAATGAAAAAAAAATCATATTGCCATTTTTCCATCCCAATTTGCATCGATATGAAATTTATTTTAACCTTCGCCCCCCAAAAAATTGAAGAAAAAAGAAAATAAAACGGAAATGATCAAACCAGATAAATTAAATTCTTCACTTTCTGATTACTAATTTATCTTGGCAATGATACATTTCACAAAAAAATCCTATAGATCATTCTTATAGATAATTGAATTCCCTTGAAAAAATATCTTTTGATATTTTTTCCTAAGACCAATAGCTTTCTGGTAAATCCGGTGTGCCGAAGTGGCACACTAGGAAAACTCCTTTTGTTCAGAGTCCAGTTTACAGCCAATATCTCCGAATTGCAGAAACATATCAAATTTTTTGCACTTACATCTCTTATAGAAAAATATGAGAGCTACCAAAAAGATATCCACGAAAATTTCATTATCTTTCTTCAATTCCGAGAAATTGGCAAAAAATGGGACTCGAAAAAAATGCACTCATTCCAGTTTACCACTTCGCAACAGAATCGATGTTCCTCAAAATTGTCAAATCGATTTATCCCATTGCACCATTTCCCTATTTTCTCCATATTCATATTTTCATTTACTCAGTAAACAAGAAGACAGAATATATAACCGAATACATACAGCGAATCTATAGAAACACGTAGAGAAGTTTGAAACTGGGTGCACAACTGTTATCGCCTCTCTTAAATCGACCATGGTTATCGCAACCTCTTATCGCGTTTGAACTAACACTTGAATTTCCATCAGAATTTCAAAAAGGACCTGTTCCACCCACCCCATCCTCATCCCCGTCCACCCCCCGAATGAAGCAAAAATAAGAATATCTAGAGCTCAGGAAAAATAAAGTGTTCTCTAAAATCTATATTTTTTGTAGTAAACGTTTGTATTTTCCTTTGCCTGATTGAGAAAAAAAAAAGAGAGTAGTTTTATGGGAAAAGTGTCGACGCAGAGGAAGCAACGGGTAGTCACGTATTTCGCATTAAAAATTAAAGTCGTTTCCACGGACGCCTGCGGAAACGCTGAATTACACTGGAGGACATTAATCATCCTGCCTCTTCACTCCACCTCTCCGCCATTCTTTCCGCGTTCATTTTGAAGCAGAAATGATAATAATTCTAATATTAAAATTCACCGAGCATTGATTTCCCCAGGTCCCCGAGAGTTCCGAACAAACCACGGCTTTCAAGAAATCCGATTTTTCAATCTGGGCATATTTTCCACGTTTTCCATATTTTCCATAAATTCCCGACGCAATTGTCACAGTAGGAAAAAGAAAATCTCCCTTCCTTATCTGATGCCAATATCCGGCGAATAAATAAATAAAAAATCCTATCCCTCTGTTTCCTCCGGGAGTACAATGAATTTTACGACAGCGGACAATATTTCCTCATCCCCATGAAATAAAATAAAAAAAAAAAGGTATAAAATTGAGTGTCACGTAGTGGCAATACGCCACGAATATCCCTCGGAGACAGACGATTGGAAAACGTCTCGTCTTTTACTTTCCAATAATTTTTTTTTCACCCCCAAACCACCCCTTCATTCCTCTCATTTTCCACTCCCCCTGCCTCCCATCGCCCACTTGGACATTTCGATTTCACCTAAAAGAGACTCCATCCACGTCTCAACACGTCACTCTACCCTTCGGATTTTCCTGGAAAATCGAGATCCCTTGTCACGTGATTTTACTTTCTCTTTTATGTCATTTTTTAAAATATTTTTTGGTATCACTTCTACCTTTCGGTTCGGCGTGCAAGAAAAATTTCAGTGAAAAATTAAAAATACCAGAGAATTCACACGGAATTTTTCAAGAAAGAGAGAAATTCAAGTAATTTCACAATTTCAGACAATGGCGTGCGAAATTGTAACTTTCCTTATTGTTATATAATGTTTACATACTTTCTTTCTCCGTACACGATCGTAAAGCGTAAAAGTAAATTGTGTTAACTATTTCTCCCTGTGTAACCTTAATCTCGCGATAATTTACGGTAGAATGGAGTTGACACTTGGGAAAATGGATAACTCTTTCGAAATGTTGTAACAAACTCCACTGACATCCGGTATATCACCATTATAACTGGTGGAAACTTGTCGGGAGTGGGTGGTAAAGGGTTGACAAGGAGAAGAACTGTAGAGCAGAACCCTTACCCTCCCTGTCCCCGTCCACCCTTCGAACCAACCCCTGAGGAAAGTGCCCCTAAACGACTCGAATGTAAGTTTCCACACACGAGTGCCTTCTGAGGTCCTGCAAACACTATTTTCACCTCCCGTCTCTAAAATTTTCCACGGGATTTTTCCGGATATCTCCGTGTCCCTCGACTTTTCCCTCTATTTTTACCCTCAAAAGAAAAATAATTTGAAAAAGAAAAAGCCCCACTTTTCACCCTCTCACAAGCTTCATGACTCCTTCTGGATTTTTTTTTTCCCATCTTTCTATTTTTTTTTATTTATTTTTTGGTTTTCCATTCGTCGCACTCAAGACCCGTAAATTCAAACAGTTGGGGTGGGGGAGGAAAATATTACTGTCTGCCATTTGAATTTCTGAGGGATGAAACAAATTTATTCAGAGAAATTTGGATGCTCTCCAGTGTAATTATTTTTTTCGAGGGCGAGGGGAATTTCAATGGGTTTGGGGTGAATTAATTATGTGGGGCGAAGCATTCGATGGTTTAATTAGGTTTTCATGTTGTTAATAAGTTGAAAGGGGAGATAGAATTTTTTTCTCCTGAGGTCTTTGTCTTCCTGAGGAAAATTACAAGAAAAAATCCAGGGGTTTTTTCAAGACAATGCAATTGGGAATCTATTTCGAATGGTTTAATTTTTCTTTAATATTGATAATGAATACTGCATTGATAATCAATGCAATTCAACGTTAATTTTTAATGAATTATGTTTTTCAGAATTTAAATGTAAAAAAATGAATTTCCACGTGGAAAAGTGGGAAAATGAAAATGTAAATGGAAATGGACGGTTCTGTACAAATATTTTGTTACAACCGCATCGGGCGTTACAACAGGCTCGTTGGGGGTGGTAAATGGGTGGAAAATCGGGGGTTAAAGGGGTGGTAAAGGGGGATTTAGGTTGAAGGGACGAAATGGTACTCCATCGTGAGGGCAACGAACCATGGCCCACTCGTGTGACTATTCACCGAGGCAAATTTTCCAATGAAATTTTATCACTCGAGGGGTTCATTCGTCGACTCATTGAATTTTTTAAATCCCTCGCCGGCTGATTTTTTTTTTCTCACACAATAACACTATTATTCCATTATTCAATATCAATTGCTGACTAAGGGTGTAACGAAAATAAAATTAATTGAGGATCGCGGAGAGAAATTTCGTTGAGAAATATCCTAGTATATGTTTTAACCCGTGAATAAAATTATTGAAATAAAAACTGGATACACCATTCGCCTGAAATAATTGATAATAACTCGAAGGAATTATAACTGAAAAAAAAAATCAATCATTTGATTAAAAAAAATTGGAAGACTCGATTTTCCCCAACAACTAAAACCGGCAATTTTTTCTTCCCCAGTGGACTAAAAATTGTGTAAATTATTTCCCTGAAGTTATCGCCGATAAATATGGAAGTGAGATCATACGTAAGTCCCCGAGCAATTTTTAAACTCCTGAAATATTCAAATCCCAGACATTTGTAGGGATAAAATTTCCGCACATCTGAGCGCTCTCCAGTGAGAAAAATAAAACTTTCAAGACGACTAAAAAAAAGGAGAAAAATAAAAAAAAAAAGTGAGGGATTTTGAGAGAGGGATGTGAGTGCCAGGGCTATTCCCGGTGGTCACGTCACGCCGGTTTGTCACCTTTTCTAACGTGACCTCACTTTTTTCTCTTCAACAAATCACAATCTCACTCTCTCCCTCATCCCGGAAAACCCTCTGACTACTTTTTTTTTCCAACCCCTCATTTTATTATATTTCTCTTTTTATCATCCACCTCCCCGGATTTCCGCTTTGCTTCCTCATTTCCCGCCCTCAAATTCTCCAGTAAATCTCTCTCCCTCCGAGCAATTCACGCATTAAATATCATTCAATTCACAATTATTTGATTTTATTGCCCGTTATGGGGGCGGAGGAGTAATATTGCTGATTAAGGGGAAATCAGTGGGTGGGGGACAAGGGGAAGAATTATATGTGTATTTTCCCATTTTCACTGGTGGTGCGCATTTTATTATTAACGAGGTGAAATTATGACTATTTGATGTACGCGATTTTTCCAGGTGATCCCAATAGAAAAAACAACAATAAATAAAATAAATGGAATAAAACTATGAAATTCCATTCGCTGTCTCTTAAAAATTTCAAAAAAATCACTTAGAAATTGGAATTTTCTTCGTGGAAAATTCAGGGAAAATAGGAAAATCAACGCGGAATAGATCCTTTGAGTTTAAATGGAGATAATAAAAAAAAATTGCCTCAATTTTCTCTCTAGCATTGCTCAGTCATCCGTCAAGCTCTAAGCGAAACGTCAGAAGGAAAAACAGACGCCGTCGACTGGGAAATGGCCATTTCCACTAACACCTATTCGAAATTTGTTACGAGAGGAAAAACTCGATGAAAACTCGGGGGTCATCGATCACCACCTCAATTTAGAAAAAATGAAAGCGAGAAAATCCCTTAACTTTCGTACAAAAAAGCACAAGCTGGGCTTCATCCCCCAATCCACGGAAAATATTCAATCCATAAATAATTGCATGAAAAAAATAGATGACTGGACTTTTTTAATTAACAATCAAAGCCCCATGACATTATTCCATGATCTTTAATCGCATTTATAATTTTAGTCATCCGAATTTACATGTAATGTAAGTTATCTTAAAACCTATCAATTTGGGGTGAAAAGGTCACAAGACTTTTTTTTCTGAATCGATAATTATATTGCCCTCTATAAATCAAGAGATACATGGTGTTTTAATTTAGGGTTAATAAAAAAAACTAGTGAAAAGTCCGTAAAAAAATGATAATAAAGCCGAAAAATAATAAAACTGAGGGAACAATTGAATCTCATACCTCACGGAGTAATTACCCGACGAAGTAAAAAATATTCTCCCCCATTTTTCAGTTCAGCACGAACGATAATAGCTGCTGGTCCCGCGAATTTATTTGATTTTACGATAGCTGGGGTAATTTTCGTTGGCATTTTGGCACGGTAAAACTACTGGAGTGAACTCATTCCGTAAATTACAACCAAGACCTACACGTGTAAAGCTCCTCTGCATACAGTACTGAAAATTACTTGACTTTTTCACGAAGTCGTAAATGTGTTTTTACAGAAAAAAAAAAAAATTACAACACGTGTATTGGTCACGCAAGTTGTCAATGTATTATCGGTATTTTCGCTATTATTACCCCTGGAGGAGGAGAAGGTCAGTATATTCTATTCTGTCCCTCATTCCCAAGTTCAAGGATATTTTCAGAAATTCACCTAGAAATTCCATTTTTCCCCAACAAATCAGCCATTCCCAGAACAATTTGCCCCAACATATATTGATCTCCACATAAAAAATGATTTCCCTTGAATCGATAAGAACTAGTCCAATTTTTCTACTCAATTATAAATCAATAATCCCATGTTAATGCCAGAAAAAAGAAAATATGTTGATCAACATATTAATATAAAAATAAAATGTATACCTTGTTTTTTGATTTTTTTCTTTTTTTTTTTGCTTGCGAATGGAAACGGAAATTGGAGTGGAGACCGTTGTAAATAAAATAATTCCGAATATTCCCCGGGGTGAAATGCACCCTTAAACCCACACGTTACATCCCTCCAACGAGTGATGAGAATAAAAAAGCCCAATGTCTCCGTATTTTTTTTACGCTGAGTGGAATACGTGTTCTAGTACGCAACGTGCGTGCGCTTACTACACAATTTTAACCCCCAACCGTTCACTTATACCACCCCACGGACAATTGTACACACGATGACCAATGGAATTCACCACGAGTGACTTCCAAATGAATTCCGAGTTTGATTTTCCCCAGAGAGATATCCCGACGAATAAAAATCTCCAAAATCTGGACCTGCCATTTCACCGACCCCATGAAAATTCCTTCCGAGTTATAAAAAAACACCCCTTCAAAACCCCCAGAAGCCCTGACACCGGGAAAATAATTTTCCCCCCAAAACCCGTTGTTCCCCGATGTCTCGAGCAGCAAATGCAAAAAAATTCCAATTTCCACATTTTTCCTTCGATCAATCTCTAATTTTCTTCTCTATTCAACCCTCACCCCTCCCACACCCTCACGAAGCCGCCAAAACCGGCAAAAATCACTGAAAAGATCAAAACTCACCAAGTCTGTCTGCTCCAAGGTCAGGTCAGTAGGCCGCATCCACTCCCCCTCCTCTCCCCCCAAAACACACCGAAAAAAACAAAAGACAATCACCAGAATTCAATTCACCGATGAACCCTCCACACCGTCGAAAAAAAAGTCTCGTATATTCGTCACAAAAAAATCACCGAAAAATCCATATCACCGGAGCAATATTTTTCCCCAATTTCTAGGTTATGTTTTTGAATTTTATGATGAAAACAATTGATAGATCACTGATGTAACTCGTCACTCGTCAATTTATCGATGGGTTCACTTATTCTTTCATTGAGGAAGGGGTGGGGAGAGAGAGGGGGGGATTGAAACGTTTAAATTAATAGTCGGACGTTTTGACAATGTGAGATGTGTTTACTGTGTGAGCTTTGTCCAAGAACTGGCGGGAGCCTTAACTTCGTCGCACGCAAGAGGCTTCTCCCGCTCCCGGATTTTCCATCCCCACCATTCCGGTGGCCGCTATAAAGCCCCTGACGATCTCCCCCTCCACATCCCCCTTAGCCTCCCCCTCAGCGACAACCCCAACCACCCACCACCTCACGCAGATACTGAACCTAGCTCACACTGTTCCAACTGTTGAAAACCGGAGCAACTCCGTACACCCCGTGTAACTATTTGGACATACACAAACGTCTCACGAGATCGTTTGGCAATTGTTTTTTTCGGCGGGAAAAAAAGTATTTGAAAAATAGAAGAATGGTATTAATAATCGATAATCAATTGAATTGAATTTATTTTGGATTTGATTGTTTGGGATTTTTTGGCTAGAGAAAAATAAATGAATAATAAGTAGTGTAGGAATTTTTGATTTGATTGTTTGGGGAGTTTTTCGGCGGGAGAAAACGAATGAAGAAGTGAAGATAGTAAATTATTTTTTTCAAGATTTTTCTAGTGTTTTTTGATGATAAAAAATGGAGAATCGAGTGAAGAATTAAAGGGTTATATAACATTATTGGAAAATGACCGGAAACCTGAGGTCGAGCATGGATTAAATGAAACTTTAATTAAAAAATGACTGAAGTGAAAAATTAAGTCGAAGAGAAAAATTGGAAAATTGCTTTATCAATTAATTTTCGCGCGAGACGTTTTGGCTGGCGTTGGGGAACAATTTCAGATTATTCTCAAAGAGAGATGACAAATTATTAAATTGAATGAGTGAGCCTTGCCAAGAGATATCAAGCGAGAGTGGGGACGATCTTCCATTGAATTAAATCGACTTGCAACACTGCCAGATCCACTCAACATCGCCATTGTTGTTTCAATCAGCTGTTTCGCTCAATTAATTCCACAGAAAGAAGTTTCCCCATGAAACTTATGACATTTTCCCGACTCTCAGAATTAAACCACAAATATCATCAAAACCCTCATGCAAATCCACTTATTCCAGAATTCTAATTAACCGATTTCTAACCGATCATCAAAAATGTAAGAATCAAAAAAATGCAGAACGTGAATTTTCGAAAATATCTTCCAACCGATCAACCCTAGAGAAAAAAATGAAAAGATCATTTTTTTAGCCAATAAAATTGTCCACAAAAACGTTCCTACACAGATTTTTGTGAATTCACTTCCCCCTAAGATATTCCCCAATCAATTCAGGTACATTTCGTCATCTCATCTCTGACGAGAAAAAAAAGGAAATTTTTGCTGTTTTTCGTGGGTGAGGGGTTGGGCCTCCAGGAGATGCCTCGAAATGTCATCGTTTGACAAGAGTGGAGCCCCCAGGAGAGAAGATAATCCACCAGGATCCCTTTATGTCTAGCTTCCCATGAAGACACTCCATCCTCTATTTTTTCACCATTTCCCTCATTCGCGATATATTGTTATTTTCCATCAATTTTCTTTTTTCTACCCCTCACATTGCTTTTCAACCCTCGATGAGTGTAAGAATGCACCCTGGTGGAGAGCTGCGCACGGTTGTATAAGCTTGTGAAAAACGTTACCTATATGAGAGCTACATTTCTCAACAGCGTGAAAATCGATAAGCGACAAACCCCGAGAGCTACCAACCGAACCACCAAACGGGGAGAACAATCCACTGATTCTCTGACCCCGAATACCCCACTCCAACGCTGTTGCTTATCAATATTTTTTCGATACATGTGTGGAAATTGTATTTTCCTCCGCACCGTGTGGAAAAAGTGGAAAAAGTGCACTTTACCGTGGGAGAAAGTGAATTTTTTTGATCAATCGTTGCAAAAAAAAAATCGTTACTTTTAGAATTTCAATTAGAAAAGTGCATGAAAATTCGAATTTATTGCTGCACCAAAATCAATCTCGTTTGTTTTTCAGGAATTTTGAAAAAAATTGCAAAAAACTTGAATTATTTGATTTATATCTCAATTAGGGGAATAGAGGTGAAATTCCGACAGTTCATCCTTCATTTTTATCGAGGGATTTCAATTTTCTGGTCTGATGGATGGGGAGATAGCGACAAATGGAATATTGATGGCGATAAACTCTTTCTCCCCGATTTTATCGTTAGAAGTGGATATTATGAATTGAAAAACATAAAGAATCCCGAATTTTTCGATTAAAAAAAAGTCTCACCAATAATTTCATTCGAGTTACTTCAAAAAAAAAAAATGAAAATTACCCAAGAAAAATCTGGAAATGGGAGTTTTTCTTCAAATAAATTTGAATAACACATCATAATAATAATAAAAACTCGTGGCTATTCTTCACTTAATCATGCAACTAGGTGTTTACGATGGTCTGTAAAGGTCATAAACCTTGTACTTACCTTTGCCACGTCGACGTAACCCAAGCGAATCCCTGACATTCTCCATAAATAATCCATAGACGACCGCAAAATGCACTTCCACCCACTTTGCCCCACAATATTTCAAAAAGCCCCATAAAATCGGTGCCATCACCTGCCCTACTGTCCTTATCACGAGTCAAAACCACCCACCACCCATAAAAAACCGAAACTCTCAAACTCACGCTCAGAACACGCCATAAAATTTTCCTGTGTTCCTAAAAATCCCCCCCCACACTCCCGCCCCATCAATCGTCCCAAAAAAACAAAAGAGCGAGGAACTACAGCTCCCAAAATTCCCTAGAAAAAAAAATCCAAACACATGTCCGTAAAACCTTGCATAAGATGTCATGAAAATTCAAAGGCTTTGAGAATTTTTGTAATAACAATGAATTTCTTGGAGAACGGCCAAAAGATTGGACAATATTTGAACCTTAGCGGGTGACATTCGGCGGTATTCTCGCGCATGCTTATTGAAACGGGCGCGAAAATCATTGCGAGGTGTCGCTGCACTCGCGAAATAGTCTGGCACAAAAAAGCATTCATTACAGTGTTAAAACCGGTCATGGATCACAGTTAACAACCGCATCATATTCCGAGTCCCGCCGAATATATATATTTTTATTTGCCAAGTAACCAAAAACTAAAATAAATAAAATAGAGCCAACGATACGGTGTGCTGTGGCCCTTCGGTGGACTAGTCAATTAAAGTAATCAAAAATTGATAACAAAGGGGGTAATAAGGCTGGAACATGGGGGCTTACTTATCGGAGCCGATAACTAAAAAAATTTCGAGCGACGAATCTGGGGAAAATGTGGCGTTTGGCGCGAGCTCGATGCAGGGCTGGAGGGCAAGCCAAGAGGTAAATTATTAGTCAATTATCAAGCGAGGGAAAAACCATTGGACGCGTGCATTTTTTTTTCTCGGGGAGGGCCACCAATCGCTTCCGGCGAATCCCAACCTACAATTTTTCAATCCACATTTTCCGCAATTTAGAGAGAAACCGCACGTTATTTCGATATTTCATTATTTTCATATTGTTTACCTCGGTCATTTATTTCTACTTTATTCCTAATGCACCCCGAGCATTGCAATTATTTTTTGGGGTATTTGTGAATTTTCTCCAGGCATTGGAGGTAAACAATAGCACGAAATTGAAGATTTTGAGATTATAAAAATCAGGTCTTGATAGAAAAATAGCATTTGGAATGCGAGAATCAAAAATCTTGGATTGTGTTCCATTCTGGATAATTAAATGGAAATTCTCGAATTTTCTGGGAGATGAGCTGTTTGCCCCACCTCTCAAATATCTCCCCGAAAATTGTGTTTACAAAATAGACGTTTTCAGGATGCTCACAACTGCTGCATCACCTTCGACAGCAACACATCCCTCTTCGCAGTGTACGATGGTCATGGTGGTCACGAGGTAGCGACGTACTGCTCCCAGAACCTCCCAGACTTCATAAAATCCACAGAGTCCTACAAAAACGGCAACATCCCTCAAGCCCTGATAGACGCATTCCTGGGTTTCGACGCGACCCTGGCAACTCCCGAGATCGTCTCGAAATTGAAAAAAATTGCGGACTCATCCCTCCCCGAGAAAGAGCCCGAGGACTCGTGTGATTCCTCAGAAGAGGAATCAATCATAAATCTCCGTAAGGAAGCCGCGATGCCGCTGGAGCAGGTGATGCTGAAATACCAAACAGAAACAGAAAGAGGAGCGAGCTGTCCATTCCTACGTGTTCGTCGTACCAAGGCTGGCTGTTCCTCAGGATCATCACCAGGATGTTCCACATCAAACGAGTCAGACGTATCTAGCAGCAGCTCAACAAATGCCGAGGCCTCAGTTCCAAATGCGGAAAAAAATCCCGAACCAGGAAGCAGTGACTCGGATCAACTCCTGGACTCAACGAGCAACGGTGACATTCCAGGAGGGAAATCAGAGATGCCAGACAGCTCGGTGGATGCCACAGAGAAGCCAAATCTCATCACCTCCAACACAGAGATTAACGGTGAAGAAATAAAGAAAACAACACCAGACAGCAGTAAAACGGACAATGTATCGTCCTCTTGTAATTCCTGTGGTAATGGAGAGCTCGAGGAGGTGGAGGGTATTTCCAGTAGCAGCAAGAAGGCTATTGGTGAGCACAGCTACAGAACATTGCTCCAGAGGATGGAGGATGTCGAGGACTCGGATACAGATGATGAGGAAGACGAGAGTTTTCGTGATGTACCAGAGGGCAGTGATGATGACGATAGGGATGAGGAAGACAGCGATGTCGATGATGAGGACGATGGCGAGTTCAATATAACCGAGGAACCAGGGGCTGACAGTGGATGTACAGCCGTTGTAGCTATTCTGCAGGGTAATGAGCTATTTGTAGCAAATGCTGGTGACTCCAGGTGTGTTTTGTGTCGGGATGGTGAGGCTGTTGAATTGTCACTTGACCATAAACCTGAGGATCAGCCTGAAATGGCGAGAATTGTTAAAGCTGGTGGAAAAGTAACGTCAGATGGTAGAGTCAATGGTGGACTCAATCTGTCAAGAGCACTTGGTGATCATGCCTACAAGCAAAATAGTACACTATCACCTCAGGAGCAGATGATATCGCCATTACCTGATATCAAGAGGATTACTATTGATCCTAAGAGGGATGAATTTATGGTGTTGGCTTGTGACGGTATTTGGAATTTTATGTCATCTGGGGATGTCGTTAAATTCGTCAGGGAGAGGCTCAAGAAGAATGACGAGAATATATCCAAGATCTGTGAGGAGGTGAGAAAACAGGGCATGATTATTTATAAAAAATATAATTTAATTTTTTTTTTAATCAGGGAATTCTCGACAAAAAAAATTCTCGACACATTTTTCTGTAGAGTTGATAATTATGAACATAGAAGCAGTGAAAAAATTTAATTATTCTCAAATTTCGGTTTTTGGATATTTTCAGCTTTTTGATCACTGCCTGGCACCAGATACGATGGGCGATGGGACAGGCTGTGACAATATGACAGCTGTAATCGTAAAATTCAAAAATCAATCAGAACCAGAGGTGCAAAATAACGGTGAGACCGAGGAGACGGCGATAACAAAGAAGAGGCCCTTGTCATCGGAAAATTCTGAAGACCCGGAGGAATCTGTCAAGAAAGATCTACCCCTTGAAGAATGTAAACGTGCGAAAATGGAGGCAGTTTGAAGGGAAAATAATGATTAAAATCATGAACTCGATCCCCAGGACTGTCCCAAGTGAATGTGAAGTTTATCATTTCGTTAATTATTATATTTTTTCTCTCCATTGAATGCAAAATTAATCTTAATGCAAGATTAATTTATTATTATTAATGTGTCTAGTGTTTTTTCGGGTATTCGTGAATGGTAATCAACCGTTAAAGGAGCACATGAGGAGATTATTTTTCTCGTCGTCAAAAATATTTTCAATGATTCCTTTACTCTTTTAATTCAAAGGCTGAAAAATTCAATGGCCTAATCCAGTGATAAATCATCAAATTAATCGAACAATTCAAGTATTCAGGTAATAATTAACTCAACGATTATTTTTTCACCAGACGAATTAACGAATCGACAATCATGAATTTAATTTCATGAGCCAATATTTTCGTAAAACTCATATGCTCCAAAAATTAATTACATGTAAAGTTACACTTAATCTAGGAGGTGTAATAGGTATGTAAATATTTGAGATAAAATTTGAGATGAAAGAAAAAAACAAATGATTGATGAAAAAAATGAATAAATAACGTAGAGCATAGGGTTTATATTTGTAACGGGGAAGACACCATTTTTTTTTTATTTCATACGACAGTTTTAATTTTTTGAGGAAGAAGGAAATCATCTCAAGTAATTTTGGGGGGGAGGAATGAGTCTAGATGACCGGATAAAGTGAAATACGAAATTAATTTCCCTGGTATTGAATATTTTTAATAAAAATTACGAAAACCTCATCATTTTTCATTCTTATTTTCAATTTATTTCCTTCTTCCTATTGATTAATTGAATAAATTATTCACTGTTGACCGTGTTATGGGTGGATGGAAGAGATTTCAGCCAGTGATTAAAATTCAGGTTTACTGATTAAATGGATGAATTAACGAAAAAGTGAATTGTGATTGATCAATTAATTCTGAAATCCTCGCATGATTGATCGTCACGAATAGATGACTATAATTATGAGAAAAAAAAATAGTTGGCAGAAGAAGAAGACGTGCCTTCGAAATCTCTACAAATTTTTAATTTTCAGTCTTATCGACATTAATTCACCACAACCAACTGTTTCCGCAAATTAGAAATGAAATAAAAGAAGAAAAAATTAATTAACTGTTAAATGCTCGATTGTCTCCAACTGTTCCTGCTCGATTCTTCGCAATGAGTCGTACTGAATCCTCAAACGTTCCAGTTCCATTGTTTTTTCGTTGATCAAGGCCTGAAAATTTTCATTGATTTCTTTGTTTTCTGTCTTTCGTCATCAATTTTTGTTTGTAAAAAATTTTATACCTGAATTTTTTGCTTCTGGGCCTCTCGCTGCTTCGATACTGAACGCAGAAGATTTCTAGCACCTATAGTCCTCATTTTTTCTCGTTCAACTTCATTCGCGAGACTGTCAAGCATCTCAATGAACTCATCGGAATTTTTTTTGAACTCTGTTATCTCTAAAATGGAAATTTTCTCATTTACAGACAAAGAGAATTTCGATTTCCAAGTGCTGAGTGAATTTTTCAAACATGTGGAATAATTCTCAGAAAAACCGTGAGAATACTTCGAAAAGTATTTGAAACCAAAAAAAAAAAAACCTATTCCAATCTCTTCTGCTGAACAAAAAAATTGTATGACAGAGAAAAATAACGAAAATAAATCGAGAACACCTGAAATTCGAGCTGTTCGACTGTATTTTTGCCTCCAAAAAATTGTCCTGGAGTGCGTGAAGCTGTGCAAGTGCTAGCCAACCCCTCACGGTGCAGGAACGTCAACTAATTCCAGAAAAAAAAATCAAGAACTTACTGGAGACGAATCCATGACACTCAACCCTCAATTTTTCGCTCTGCCCAGCCACCTCTGGTTCCAAAATCCTAATTTTACTGAAATCATCAACGTACAGCCCATACTTAGCCAACGAATCCGCCATTTTACATGAACCCTCCAAAAATCAATTTTCATGAGACGACAAATTGTCTGTTTTTTTTTTCAATTCTGTTTGAAGTTCCCGCGCAACTCACAAGTCAGCCGCTGTTCATAAAGACTCGTGTAACCGCTAAAAGTAGACGCATTTTATTCCCATCGTCGTACACCAGGCATTTTATACGATTTTTCCACTCATTATTCTGGAGAGAAGACTTGAAAAATGGCTGATCGCCTTCCATTTCTCGTGGAATATGCGAAATCTGGAAGGGCCGCATGCAAGGCTTGCAAAGCACCAATTATCAAAGAGTCATTGAGAATCGCTAAAATTGTCCAGGTAACCACAATTTCGTCGCTGTCTCCGGTTAAAAAAAAAATCGAAATTTTATTTCCCCTTTCGAAACATGGAGGACTACCTCCCGTGGGAATGAACAATTTTTCGTTTTTATTTTCTCTGTAATTTTAAGGTTTTCCAAATGTTTTCGTTTCTGTCCAGAGTCCCTTCCACGATGGCACTCTGCCCCACTGGTACCACGAGCAGTGTTTCTGGTCAAAAGCAAAAGTGAAGACAGTCGGAGACATCGGAAATCTAGAAAACCTCCTTTGGGAGGATCAGGAGAAAATTCGCTCGAAGATCGACTCAACAGATGCAACGGATACAGTAGACCCAACAGATTCCTCAGGTGGTAAGCAATCGCGTAAACGTCCTAGCGCAAAACTCCACACAGACTTTTCAGTTGAGTATGCAAAATCAAATCGGTCCACGTGCGTGGGATGCGAGGCACCAATTCTCAAGGGCTCAATTCGCATCTCGAAGAAGGATTTCGAGAGTGAGAAGGGACAGCTGCTGGGTGGAGTGCCCCGATGGCACCACCTGGACTGTTTCTTAAATTTGCGTTCTTCCCTTGAGTTCTACGACTCTGGAGACGCTATTCCAGGCTTCGAATCCCTCTCGAAGGAGGACAAGAAGACCCTGAAATCAAAAATTCCAAAGATGAAGGCTGCAGACATTCCACCACCCCCGAAAAAAATCAAGGGCGAGCCAATAGACGTCGAGGAGAACGAGCAGATGAAAAAACAAAACGAAGAGATCTTCCAACTTCGTCAGAAACTCCAGACTCTTAAGAGGAATGAACAGATCAAGCTGTTGGAGCACAATTCGCAGTACGTCTCCAGCGACAAGGGTCAACTGCTAAACAATTTAGCAGACAGAATGATCTTTGGGGCTGTGAAGCCCTGCAAAAAATGCTCAGGTGCTTGTAACTTCGTCTCAGGCGTTGGCTACAAGTGCAAGGGTGACCTGACAGAGTGGACAAAGTGCGAGGAAGTCACACAGGATCCCGAGAGGGTAAAATTCAAAATTCCAGACGATATAAGAGAGTCAATACCATTTTTATTGGAGTTCAAACCGAAAGTGGAACGTCGTATTCTCAGAATAACAGGCCCATCGACATCGAGTGAAGTTAAAAAAGAGGAGACATCAGGCCCACTGGTGAATCGTGGTCCATTGCCCCTGAAGGGAATGGAATTTTTTATCGCTGGTAAAGGTACAAAGACTAAAGAGGATCTCAGAAAAGAAATTATGGTACTCGGGGGTCAAGTTGTATCCAGAGTACATGAGAATTTGGCAGCCGTCATTGCTGATAAGAAGGCATTTACAAAAGGTGGTAAAGCATTTGATAATGCTGAATCCTTTCGTATACAAGTTGTAACAGAGGATTTTGTTGATGAAGCGAAGGATTATACGACAGCACCAATTTCACTCATTACTCAGAAGAATATTGCCTCCTGGGGGGACGATCCTAGAACTAGAATTGCTGTTACCATGGAAAAGTCCTCGTCAAAGGGAAAGAGTGTCTACGAAAAAAAATCATCGGGTAAAGTTAAACTCACAATGAAAGGGGCTGGAGTCGTTGATCCGGCCAGTGGACTCCAGGATGTGGCTGGGATTTATCAATCTGGCAAGGATAAATACAGTGTTACACTTGGTTTAACTGACATTCAATCAATGAAAAACAGTTATTACAAACTCCAGTTACTCAAGCATGATAAAAAAAAAAAGTACTGGCTCTTCAGAAGCTGGGGGAGAATTGGAACGACTATCGGTGGAGAGAAGTGCGAATCTATGGCACTGGAGGATGCCCTGGACATGTTCAACCAGCTGTACCTCGATAAATCTGGAAATGAATGGACAGCACGTGATTATTTTGTTAAAGTTCCTGGCAAGATGTATCCCATTGATGTAGATGAGGGTGATGACTCGTCAACCACGGAGAGCCTCGAGTCAGATATCAAAAGTAAACTGAAAAAACCTGTTCAAGATCTCATTAAGCTTATCTTCGATGTTAATCTCATGAAGGAGGTGATGAAGGAGTACGAGCTGGACACTGAGAAGATGCCACTTGGAAAATTATCCAAGAAACAACTCCAGATGGCTTATGGAGTTCTCAAAGAGGTTCAGGTGCTTCTGGCAAGTGGTGATCCTAACAGGCTCAAGCTCATTGACGCCTCCAACAGATTTTATACACTCGTTCCACACTCGTTCGGTATCAAGCAGCCGACGATTCTCGATAATGAGGCGTTGATTAAAGCTAAATGCGAAATGCTGGATTCACTCATGGAGATGGAGATTGCTTATAATCTTTTGAATATCAAATCCGAAACTGGGCAGAGCCCATTAGATGCTCATTACGAGCAATTGAATACTGATATTGATGTCCTGGACAGGGAGAGCAAGGAGTTCAAGATTATCCAGGAGTACACGAAGAATACACACGCTGATACTCATTCTCACTACCAATTGGAGATTGAGGATGTGTTTGTGATTAAGAGGCAGGGAGAGGAGAAGAGATTCAAGCCATTCAAAAAATTACCCAATAGAAAATTACTGTGGCACGGATCGAGAACAACAAATTTCGCTGGAATTTTATGCCAGGGATTGAGAATTGCACCTCCAGAGGCACCTGTTACTGGGTATATGTTTGGCAAAGGTATTTATTTTGCTGATATGGTTTCAAAGTCAGCGAATTACTGCTGCACCAGCAGCAAGAGTCCAACTGGTCTTTTGATGCTGTGTGAAGTGGCACTTGGAAATATGGATGAGAGGTATGCCGCTTATTATGTGGAGAGATTACCAAAGGGCAAGCACTCGACATTTGGAAGAGGACAGACTACACCTGATCCATCCAAAAGTGGTGTCATTGATGATGGAATTGAGGTGCCCTATGGTCGTGGAATTCGTGCGAATCTTCCTACAAATAGCTCTCTACTTTATAATGAATACATTGTTTATGATGTGGCACAGGTCAAGGCTAAGTACCTCGTTCGTATGAAATTCAAGTACTCTACGTAATTCCGAGTGGGATCGACTCCCAAACGACGTGCCAAAATTCAAAATTATTTTTACTATTTTCGGCTTTCTCTTACTTATTCTCGCATTCCAGTGCGTTTTTTTCGGTTTGGTTTTGCTCATAAATTATTTTTAATTGTGAAGTTATTGATAATTATTTCTGTACCGATTAATTGTATTTAATTACATGTATTTGTGGTGATGAAAGAAATATTGAGGTGCCATTTGTAGCAGGTGGAAATGAATAAACAGAGTTTTTTTTTTGTATATGAAAATTCCATAATTTTATTTCGTTTCGACTGATTGCGTTTCTAATTATAAACATGACTTCAGAGATGGGAGTAATGGGGTTTTATTACAGTAGTGATAATTATCTCTAGAACTTCCTTCCCTTTTAATTATTCTGATTGGAAATTATGTCGAAGAAAAATGTATTATAATTTTCAATGGCGAGGGATTTTAAAATAAATTTAAAACAATTATATTATTTATATACAATAAATACAATAAATATAAACGACAATCTAATTGAAATAATGAGAATAGATTGAATCGGAAAAATTTTCATCGTTGCAGATTTTTTTCATGGGTATAGAAATCATTGAATTTGAATTTTTGATGATATTTCAAAATATTTGTTCGGAGGGAACGAGTTATTTGAGATCCCCTGTCTATATCTCGTAAGATACTCTCATAATGGAACGTGTGGGTATGAGTAAGCAGTACAGTCACTTGAAAAACATGACCTAGTGATTTTAACACTCCATTCATTCACTCTCGTTGAGGATGCGAGAGACGTCGTAACCACCTGTTGATTATTATTCCATCAAAACAATAATGTCTCATTTGCTCAAAAATTTGACCAACAGCATTTGGCATGCATTCTACGCACTCCAAGGACACACACCCAATATTGTTGCTAAATCGAAACTCAAGGTAATTCGGTATTTAATATGATTTATTTTTACTGTGTGTCAGTGACCCGATTGTTCCACTTTTCGGGTGTGGTTGGATAATATTTATCATTTATCATTTTTCACCGATAAAATTCATCCTTTCGAGGAAATTTATGCTGTGAATTTATTCTCAAGGTCTTGACTGCGAATATCGGAACATTGATGGACTTGTATGGAGTTGAGAAAGGACTTGAACATTACAGGAGCACTTCTACTCTCACTTTTGAGCAGTTTATTTACTATTTGCAGAAAGAGGTGCGATTTTTTTCACTTATCTTCTTATCAAAGTGGATTATCCATCCCAGAAATGAATATCTATATGATCTGGATAATTAACAAAAGATTAATTAATTTTAGCTATTTTCTTCATTGACTGATTCGACGCCAATAGAATCTTGTAGAGTCCTGGAGGAGGGAGTCAACGAAATCTGCTGGTTGTTATGCCGGAAGCTCTTCCTCGAGAGATCCCACGGTGTTTTCGACGATCAAAGTGTCTACAAATTATTCCGAATTTTTTGTTTACTGGCAGAAATGGAGACCGACTCTACAGACACAGCATTTTTAGTGACAATGCATAGCGAGGAAGTGGCATACGTTGCATCGCAGCTTGTCACATCGCTGGGTTTGAAGTGGGATCCAGTGGATTTTTCAGCATTGTCAGCAGCCATTGGTAGCTACAGATTTCCAACATTTCTAGCAGTTCTAGAATCTAAATACTCAGGTGGAGGAACAGTAGACGATGTGGCACTGATCGAATCCATCGAGGATCTCTACAGTGTTTACGTCGAGGACGTTATAAAGAAGGGTTACTTGATGAAGAAGGGCTTCCTCCTGCCGACCCTGAAGTGTTTCTACTTTACCCTGCGCCCAGGTGAGCTGTCATACTACAAGGATTCCCAGCAGAAGGAGCCATCAGGAGTTATTTCCCTGAACATAAACTGCTGGGCTGACACATCACCCTCTGGAGGAAAGCCCGATCGTCGTTTCATCCTTTCCACTCCTGAACACCGGTGCATCGAGCTCGTCGCTGAGGATCACAAGGGTCGCCTCCAGTGGTTGACAGCATTGCAGACAGCTATTCGTTACTCAGGTGAAAAAATAAGTTATCAGAGGACTCTGGCAAATCAGCGGAGATCCCTGAGGCTCTCCAGCAAGCAGTACAGGGAGGAGACACGACAAGAGCTCAATCACGAGAGGGAAGCGAGAATAGCAGCTGAGGTGCAGGCACGAAAATTGGAGAGCATCACTCGCGGGGAATTGGCGAAGGTCCAGGAGCTGGAGGATGCCAAGAAGAAATTGGAATTTTTACTCCAAGAGGAGACCCAGGCACTCAGGGATGAGGAGATCGTCAGGGGACTCCAGGCACGAGTTCTCGCTGAGGAGTGGGAGAGGCGGGAGGAGCTCGAGAGACTCCAGCAGGAACAGCTGGAGTTGTTGGAGAGTGAGAAGATGAAGAGGAGAGAGTTCGAGGTGAAGCAGATGGAGAACGAACGACAACTCAGAGACGCTGAGTCAAGGCTCAAGCAATTGGAATCCGAGAGACAAAGTCTGGATATGGAATTGAATGCAGCACGCGAGAAGGTGAAACGGACTGAGGAGGCGCAATTTCTTCTTGAGGCAAAATTTGTCATGATGAGACCGATGAGAAATGGAGAAAGAGTGCGACGTACCCAGAGTTTTGTACCCATGAGTCGGGAAAGGCCGCTTATCACTGAGAGATTTGAAAATGATAAGAAACATTCGTAAAAATCGACGCCTCATGAATATTTAATCAGGGATATTTAATCGGCGCGGGTTCGCCTGGGGTATTACGAAATTTTCTCTCAATATTTTTTTCGTTTGAAATTCTGAGGATCTCAATGAGTTCTTAATAATTTTTTTAACATGAAAAATAATTTTTCTGTGTCAAGCTGCTAAATTCGAGAGCTTCGTAATATTCTTTGTGATTTGAACGACGAAATGATGGACTAGTCGTAATTATTGTCAGGATGGAAGAATCTCTCTCTTGAAAATTTTCACTCGATTTTCGATATTGTGGGTCTATTTTTTAATAAACGTGGCAATTTCCTTAGGAATTAATTAATTATTAAGTCAATGCAATTTTTTGAGGCAGGGTATCCAGTGGAAAGGGTAACATTACGCTGATTTTTCAGTAAGAGAACTAGACTAACCGAGACTAAAAAGCAAAGCCAATATTTTTTGTATTAAATAATTGTACACGTGTTTATACCAAATAAAATAATGAAGCTGTAAGTTGGAAAACTTTTACTAATTATTGGAATATTTAATGAACGCGGGTTTTCTCTTGGAGTTTCTTGAATAAAGAAAGAGCCCAAACACAAGTCAATATTTCGATCTCTCTTTCAGTAATCATAACTCGAATTTTCCATTCCACGAATCCAACCCGCACTTGGTCCCCCCCCTTCCCAGTTTTATCCAATCGTTTGAAAAATCGTATCAGTATTTTCCCTCCATTCCTAAATTTCTCGTTTGTTCTCCAAAAAAAAATCCGTAATTAGCAGTAGCGTACAGATTTCCAACGAGGAAACATTCCTAGGAATTATTCCAGCCTCGTGAATTACATTGCACCTGTTATAATAATAAACTTCAAATAATTGCCAGAAATGTTATTATCGGAATTGTACGACTCCAGAAAAATCTAGAATTCAATCTCGGGACTTTATTCAGGGACCAATCGTGATGACTGGTCAATTCTCGACTGGTCAGTTCGACTGTCCGCACTTGTACCGATTGGAGTTCTATTAGCAATGAGGGGATTGCTAGTTCTCCTCTTTATGCCGGGCGTAATTGTCGAAGGAATTTATCCGAGTGTCATCGTAGTAGGTGCTGGCCCTTCTGGAATAGCAGCTGCTTCAAGATTACTTGACAATGGAATAACAGATATTACGATTTTGGAGGCAGAGGGGAGAATTGGTGGTCGAGTCAACAGCACAAAATTCGGTACGTGAATTAATCCTGAATTATCAATTATCAACGAGTCGATCGCCCTTGTGTGTGGAGATGAATTTATTGTATAAATCACTCTCCATTTTATTAAATCGTGTAACATTTTTTTTCAATATAATTAACCTACTGAAAATTCCACACAATATTGTAATTTTTCATAAACTCATACATTTTAATTGTCAGGGGAATATTGGGTTGATCTCGGTGGTCAATGGGTTCATGGAGAAAAAAATAATGCAGCGTATGATCTCGGTGATCCTTTGGGCCTCTTATCAAAATCCGTGGGCCCAGGACGAGTGGACGAAGAGTCCCCGATTTATCGTTGTTATACGTCACAAGGTGAGGTGATACTGAAGGAAATAGCAAAGAAATTGGTAATTTATGCTGAGGAGATTCCCAGTGATCCCTCGGGAATGGAGAACCTGAAGACTGGGTCCTACGGTGAACATGTCAATAACAAGTAAAAGATGATCCATCATTAACGTAATCAATTAAATGAGCGACTGATAATTATTGCAGACTCTACGAATTTTATGATAATCACACGGAGGAAATTCCTGATGACATGCGAAGAAGTTTAACGCATGCTGTGAGATTAGTGATGATGTCGTCAGAAGGAGCAGCGGATTTGAATGATTTATCTTTAAAAAAAATTTTCGAGTATGAAGGTACCGGTGGGTATCAATTGGTGAACTGGAAGGAGAGAACGTACCACACAGTCCTGGAAATTCTGATGGTGAGTGAAAATATCTCATGAGAATTCATCTGACGGATATATTTTTGTAGAAAAAAATTCCAAACCCCGAGGAGGAATTGCCAGTCGTTAATAAGACCTTGCTGAATAAACAAGTCATTAAAATAATATACGATGAGGAGGGGGTGATAAGACTAATGACTTCCGATGGCACCGAATATACAGCTGATCATGTGATTTTTACAACTTCACTTGGAGTTCTCAAGGCAGATCATGAGAAGATCTTCGAGCCGCGGCTTCCAGAGAAAAACCGAAATGCTATTGAGGTATTTCTCATTGAAAATAATCAATTGAAAAATGACAATTGATTGAATTGAATTTAATTGCATTCGACGGAATTATTTTATTCTCAGACTTTGGGTTTTGGACAAAATGCAAAGATATTACTGTATTACGATCACCCCTGGTGGAATACTAATGAATTTGTCTTCAATCTCATCACCTGGACAGACTCTGACAGGAAGGAAATGGAGAATGACGTAAGACACTGGATTATTTGATACCCTATTAACCGATCTTGATTGAATCGATTGAAATATTTCTGGGATATTTCAGCCTGAAAGAAGTTGGATGCTGGGTATCGGTTTTACTGTCTCAGTCGAGTACAAACCGAATCTCTTTTTCATCTGGATGAGTGGTCCCTACTGCGAAGCGATGGAGAACATCTCCGAGGAATTATTCAAAAATCAGACGATTAAATTCATTGAAAGATTCTTCGGTAATCATCATCATCTCACTCGCCCCAAAGACATCATCAGGAGCCGGTGGAACACCAACGAGAATTTCAGGGGTTCCTACAGTTATCCTGCCCTCGCTTCCGTCGACAGGGACGCAAGTCCTGAAGACTTGGGGACTCCTGTCACACGAAATAATAAACCTGTCATACTATTCGCCGGTGAAGCTACTGAACCCCATCATTATGCTACCGTCCATGGGGCTATCGTTTCAGGATGGCGAGAAGCCGATCGTCTGATAAATCTGTATAAAAATGTATTGAAGTAAAAAATGCATTTCATTTGCACTTTTTTATCAAATGAAATTAAAAAATACTGATGCACGTGCCGATGTAATTTGAAACTAACGCCTGAGTACTTTTGCAATATATTTTCTAACCGAGAAGGTGTTGAAAAGTCTGTCGAGCTCATGTGAAAATAGATTGGAATGTACCGCAGTCAACCTCTTACGTAACTTTAAAGATCGAATTTACGATAGTAGATTAAGTCGTCGTTTGTTATGATAACTCAATCGTTAGAAAATCTAAATGAAATATAAAATCCTCAGAATAGTTGTCGCTGATAATTATGGGATATATAATAAAAATTATATAACAATCCCTTCATGGTCATTTCTTATTCGATTGTGTCCTAGAGATTCACATGCTTCGGATATTGATTAAACAGTCAGGGAGTGTTTTGAATCGAAGGGGAAGTCTCGTTGAATTGTTTAATATTTCAGAAAAACTTTCGAAGGTAGATAAAAGATAAAAATGCCACCGAAGAAAAAAGGCGGGTCAAAAATGGCTCGAATGAGCGAAGAAGAGAAATTGCGGTATCTTGCGCATCGGGCGGAGATAGAGCTCGAGGCAAAACGCCGGAAACAGCAATTAATTTCGGTTTTTACAAAGGTGAGAATAAAAATTACTCGATTTACCGATTTTTAAAATCATTTTCTTGCTATGATTGTGCTCGGCAGAATAAATTGAAACGGGAAGAGACATTCGCTCGCCTCAACACAGCAAAAATTAACGAGCAATGGCGATTTATTCTTCGTCAAGTAAAGTGCAAGGAGTTGTACGAGGACCTCGAGTACCTGTGGAAGAATTTCGATCGAATCTTGACCCTGAAGAATACGATTATTCAAAAATTGTATGGAGAACTGGAAAAGGCGGATGTCGATCATCGGAGGCTGCAGGAGGCGCATATGGAGACCATTGACTTGTTGATCCTGAGACATCAAATTAGATTGAAAGGTCTCAAGGATAATTACCTTGAAGACGTTAATCGGGTCGAGATCGGGGAGATTGATGAGATGAATTCGGTGAAGGGAGAGTTGAGTGGAGATTGCAAGCACCTCGAGGCCGTCATTTTTGCGCAGAATAATTTTATCGAGGGCAGACTTGCTGAGACCAAAATGAGAAATGCCGTCAATACATTCTCAATCGAGCATTCGGTGAGAATAAAAAAAAATAGCTTTAACCGAAATGATAAATGTTCATTTGCACAAATTGTTTTGTCTTTTGGCAATTTTAAATTTCAATTTCCAGAAAGACGAGGCAATATCGCAGATAAAACGTACAATAGGTGGAAAAATCGATGATCTCTGGTGCAGATTGAACCGAGTGATAACGGATTATCAATCGAAAATGCAGAAGAAACGAAAGCAGTACGAAACCCTGAAGTCCCTGGACGATGCCCATCACCAAGAGGCGACAAAATTTCCAAGGCACCAGTCGACTCTTCTGACGACGATGGAGTCCCTGAAAAATGAAGAGTCAAAATTGTGGAACGAGCGAAACCACACGATCGGCGAATTGAAAATTCAATGGGAAAATTTGAACAGTCGAATCTGGAAATTGAGACAGACAATCAGAATGGATCAGACGATGGACCGTGGACAGCTGAAGAAGTTGACAGTCATGAGTGGATCTGTCATAAAGGAGATGAAAAAAATCGAGGAGAAGAGCTCGATGATTCTCCTTCTCATGAGGATCTGCACTTCGTTGGAGGTCAAACCGCTTTGCTTGAAGAAATTCAACTGGGGCGAGGCGAATGACGAGAGCACGTCCACTGGCGTAATGAGTCCTTATGACAAGTTGGAGAATTTCTGGGAACAATTCAATGACGTGAAAGCAGAAGTCATCGCTATTAAGAGAGAGAAAAATGTAGTCATGGCGGAGAATAAGAGACTGAGGGCTTCTCTGAAGACTTACTTGGTCACAGTCGCCAGAATGCCAGGATCTAGGCCTCAGACGTCCATTTAATCCCTCACCATGACATGTAAATAAATGGAGTTAATTTTTTGAGGAATACTTTTTATTTAATTATTGGTACTGTTTGTCATTTGTACACTTGGAAAAAGCTGAGAGTAGAAAAATATCAGTTCATCGTTGTGTGAATATTCCACCAGCGAGTGAGAGGTACTTGTACGGTCTGGAACGTGTCCGTCCTTTCACGGGATGGAAGAAAACCTTCTCCTTGGGAGCCATACCCTCTGTCTCCAGATAAATATCGAAACAAGCTCGAAGCCTCTGGACCTGCGCGGAGAGAGTTGTTGGTTTATCCCACATTACGTTTATCTCCCGCTCCATGTCCCTGATAATATCTGCTGATGATGGCACCGAGGGGTTGAAACGGATATTGAAAACTGGGGATATCTTCGGGTAGTCTGGTTTTATGTTTATGTGAGCAATTAATTCACCTGAAATTACAATTACCACAGCGTTAATTTTTCTGCGCTTTGTAAAAAAATTCCTTTCGGTAGAAATTTGTAGGAATGAAAAAAAAAATTCTTACTGCTTCCCCTTCTCAAGACTGCCTCGTACCCGAGGTCCTCTGTCCTCCTGAGAACCCCAAACTTCACGAGAGTTGTTCCAAGCTTCATGGGCATATCTCCCGGAAAAACCGGAAAATTTCCAGCCTCCAGCATCCTTATCTCCCCGCAGAGTTCAAGCCTCGCCTTGATCCTCTTCTTCACCTCCTTGAGGACCTCCTCCACGCTGTCGTGAGCGATTTTTACATCTACCTTGTTCTTCTCCCCAACATCATTCCTGATAAACTGGAGTCCAGCCATCCTCTGTGCCCACTTGTAAGGTGTTCCCACCCCGAGGGAGCTGAAGCTTCCAAAATTCTGCCTAGACAGCTGATAGAAATTGGCAGGATTCGGTGAGTCGATGCCAAAGTCCTTGGGATAAAGCTCTTTGAGAACAGACTCTGACATCAGCATGTCCCCAGCTGGAGGTCCTGTGTCATCAGTTGTCAAATATGACTCGACCGTCACGATCTTCAGGAGAGTCATGTAAAGAAATTTGAGACTCATCTTCGTTTGATTTTTTATCGTAAGAATTAATTGCACTGTCAGTGGATGCCTCTGGAGAACTCGTGATTTTTTCTCCTCCATCCTGGCTTCCTTGGAGATCCTGTGGTGACGTTTTTTATGGACTGGTGTCTCTTCCTGAGGAATTTCCTCCCCTTGATCTGAATCTGAATCGTTACTTCCTTCTTGTGAATTAATTCTCTTGGCCTCATCCTCATCTCCTTCCACCGAGACCATCAACTGGTGATCATAAGCATCTCTGTAGGCAGTGGCTTTCAGGTAGAGAACGTAGAGAGGAGTTGGTAGGAGAGATGCTTTTTGGTGCTCTTGATGAATTTTATCCAGAGGAAGACCCAGACTCTCCTGCAGTGGCTTTGACGACTCGAGAATCGAACGAAGCTGGGGAGCTAGATTATCCAAACGCGATTGTTTCGTGGAGATGCTGGAGGCCACTGCCTTTTTACTCTCTGAAAGTTCATCACAAAGAGATGCGAGTTGCTTTCGTTGAGTCAATTCCCATTCGAGGCGGGCCAGTCGAAGTTGGTGAGGATCTGCCTTCGTTATTTCCTTGTGAGAAAATTTTTTTATTATTTCATTATTGCTACTTTCGGCACCCTTTCGTGAGGAATTGCCAATTGTTACCAAAGAAACAAAATAAGAACATTAATGGGAATGTTGACGGTACATATGACGCTGTAAACACGTGGTTTTCTATTTTTCTCTCCCGAATCATAACATTATCTTATCTGACTACAATTCATCATCATTAAAATCCACAATCCATTCAAGACCGTTATATTCAATTAAATAAAACCAGCTCACGTCAAATTGTGAAAATTGTACTTTAATCTTTGAAGTGGTAATAGTCGAGATAATCCCAAATATTTGTAGATCTGACAAAAAGCTATATACGACAAGAACTGATTGCCGTCTCCTCTAAATCCTGAAAAAAATCTCAAAAAAATTGTCAAAGAAATAATAATCCACGGAATTAATCTCCGATAACCCAAATAACGAAGGTTGTCAGTACAGAATTATCAAAAAGCCTTCAAAAATAGTGACACTATTTACAGAAGAATATTAAAACGTCACGAAAGTATTAAATAACTAACCGTTCTGGAAATGGTGGAAGGCGCCTCTTTGTAGAACTCCTCCTCCGAAACAAGTTGAATAGATTCATCCTTGGACCTAAATCCCAGACAAATATTTCCAAAAAGTTATCATCCAACGACAAACAGACGCCAATAAATCACTCACTTGAACTGCAAACACTTGATAACTTCCTTCTTCAAATGCATAACTTCGTAGAGTAAATTCTGCAGCTGTAGGTGTCGACTGTCGACCCCCATTTTAGCTGAAGTCAATGAATCCCTCGCAAATTTTGTCCTGAATTTCTCCATTCTGTTCAATTTTTTCAGCTCAATGAACGCAAGTGACGTATCAATCATCAGCTCACGTATATCATCTTTATTCTAAAAGTACAAACAATTGTACAATCGTTGGTGAAGAGGGGACACAGTAATTAATCAAATATTAGCATAAGTGAAGGCATAAAACTCGTAATACTTACTGTTGCGTCGTCAGTTGATTTTAATTTTGATATTTTTTCCATTGAATTTCGTATCATGTCGCAGGTTGAGAAAAATTTCTCAGAGTCCCGCTCCGGTGAGCGAGATATTGCCTCTTGCTCCTCGAAGGTTATTATTGTCTACGATAAAGGTAGTTAATTCAAATTTTATAATTGCTCCCTTTCGGCCTTTCGAATGGAAAAATCAGTTACATTTACTCAAATTTTTTATTTAAATCGCTGGGATTATAAAAACAGTGGAAATAATTTCAGAATAGGTTAGGCTTTGATTACTGATGCTTACTTTGTACATATCGTTGTCCTTCCCAGGAGTAGTACTGCTGGTGCTGCTGATTGATTTTCTCCGTTTTTTCGGACTTCCCGAGTCATTTTCCTTTCCCATAATTAACTTCTGAGATGATGAACACAAAAATTATGTTCAGGTGATAAAAAATTTCGGTGTTCTCCGGTGATTTTTTATCGTTCTCGCGAGGTTATGGTGGATTTGAATTTTTGACGAGCGTCAGCTGTAAAGAAGTGATCGGCTAAATTCGGGTGTCATCGGTTTGACATTTAAAAATTCCCGGTCAATAGTCATAACTCAGTAATTTTTGGAGTGAAATTCGTGGAAATCGACTCGTGAGTTTTCAATTCTTGCAATTTGATGAGGGGATTTGAAATGATTTGAGAAATAAAAAAAATTGACCCCGACGTGATTTGAACACGCAACCTTCTGATCTGGAGTCAGACGCGCTACCGTTGCGCCACGGAGTCTCAGATTTAATTTTATTTATAATTTATTGATCAAGTTCAGGAGAACAATCGGGGATCACCGGCGGTTCTCTAAATTCCAAGTGATCAGTTTAAAAACATTTTGTCCCATTTCGTAATTTCTGATTCAAATATCATATAATTTCAATTAATTCCAATTAATGAGTGTGATGATTTTTTCGTTTAATATTCAAAAAAATTATAAACAATAGTACATTCTGCCCCGTTGGCGTCGGCATGCTTGCGGAAAATCTAAAAGTTGTTGTTCATCTGTTGAGCATTAAAAAATGACTCAAGAATACATATTTTCCAGTAAAAAAACGTACCGACATCGGAATGCAATATTAAATCACATAAAAGGCGCAATAAGTTTGTGGAATTCTTGGAGTAAACAAGAGACGGAAATATTTTTACCTTGAGAAAAATGATAAATATTTTGTGTCATAAATAATCATCTAGCATAATAAAATAATGCAGCTTTCGCGATAATTATCTGTCCAAGTGGGGATGAATTGAATGTTTCATGTGTGAAAAAAAAAAATCAAGAGTGGGAGTCATTGGTAATGAGCAGTGGACACTGGTCAGTTCAATTGCACAAAATTCGTGGACTTATTCGACGTGCGCTGCGGAATATGACGGGTGCCGGAATCGAGTGTGGGATTATCAAAGATGATAATCAACTTCGTCCAGGTGGTTTAATTAAAACCTATCAAATAATTAACCAAAACCCATGAGCGGAAAAACACCCCCGAAAAATTCAGTCAATCAGAAAAATAATTGCGCTATTCAATTTTCAACGCGAAAACTCGCGATAATCAGTGAAAATTCAATCACCAAAAAAAAAAATTAAAAAATCGTTAGAAACTTTCACGTAGAAAAATAATAAAGCTGTGAAAGATATTATTCTGGGGTTTTTAATTGAGAAAATTGAGGAAAAAATATGAATAAGGTATGAAAAAAAAGATTTATCATACAACTGCGTAAATTGAGATTAAAAATCGGCAAATATTGATAATATCAGACTCGAGAGTGCGATATATCGTATATTGATGGAATGCCAGTGACCTCTTGACAATAATCGTAAAATCGAGTGAATAATGGGATTAAAAAAAAAATCGATACCGTTGAATTATCAGCATCAACTCAGCATAACTCGTCTCTTATCGATCCAGCGAGAATGATTGTGGGTAATCAATGATTTTTTATTCAATAGGATTGGGTGCAAGACATTGTCAATGTCTCCTGCTCTTCCTGGGTCTTGCTCTTGGCTACGCTAATCGGATATGCATGTCAATAGCTGTTGTTGCAATCGAGAAAGAAGTGAGTTATTCCCTTTGAAAATGAATTGAGTAATTTTCCTGTAGGTCTCCCCCATCCCTGGATATCACTCGCAACATTTCCATTGGAAATTTTCCATATCGGTTGCTATGAATAGTTCATTCATGATAATTATGAATTTTTATTTGAAATGTAAACGAGAATAACTCCCGCAAGATAACATGAATTTATTGAGCTATTGAGTGGCCATAAAATACGCAATAAAAGTATAAATCAGTGAACAACTCAGTAAAATATATGGAATGCATGAAGAAAATAATTTTCAGGTTGAATTGTAAATTATTGATTGTTATAGGAAGATGGACTGGATTCAGGAAATGTTGGGACAATTCTGAGTTCATTCTTCTGGGGTTACACAGTGATGCAGATACCATCTGGTTACTTGGCAAGAATATGGAGTGCCAAAATGGTTTTAGGAATTGGTATACTGATAAATGGTCTCGGTGGTCTTTTATGTCCAATAGTATTTGATGAAGGTGGCTGGATATATCTGTGTGGATGCAGAGTTATCATGGGACTGTGTCAGGCCTGTCTTCTGCCCTGTATTCATACTCTTCTCTCAAAATGGGTGCCACCGAACGAACGCGGACGACTGGGTAATGATTATTCCCTCGATTATCGTTATTTAAAAAAACAAATTGTCCAGTCGAGTGGTGAAACTGGATAAGTCAACGTCATTTCAGCTATCTCTATCTCTCCTAGATCCCGAGATAATTACCGAAAGTTCATCCCCGAGTGAGATTAACTCATCCTATTTTACCACTTCCCTAGCTAATTGTCTCGATCTACCTGTACTCCTCTCTGACGACTAGTCTTCGACATATTATTCAGGTACTATCACCTACGCTGGAGCACAATTTGGCACTGTCATCTCGTACCCAATATCTGGGGCTCTGATTGATGCCGCTGGATGGAGAAGTGTCTTTTATTTCTTCGGTGCTGCTGCCATCACTTGGTCATTAATTTTCCTCTTCATCGGCTCTGATTCACCAACTGCATCAGCTGAGAAAGCCTTCTGTGGTATCAGCGAGCACGAGAGAAAATACATCGAGAGTAGTCTCGGAGTTTTTGAAGAGCACAATGCCGATGACGATCGCAGGGTAATTTTCATTCTCATTATTTTTCACTTAAAAAGTATAAAAAAATTATTCCACATTCCATTACCCTGTATATTAAAATTCCTCATTAAACGTATTCATTCCCTTGCTGATAATTCATTACAGGATTCATCACGGCAGAAATTTATAAATTCAAAGTCACATCGAATTCTTTAAAACCATTATGAATAATTGCTGGAATGCATTAATTACTTTGATTGTTTTCGCACGCTCGAATCAACTGAATTACACGATTACGAAAGCTACTCATTAGCGACAAAGGCCTTGACAGTTTCACTGATAATTCCCTCGAGAAATACCTCGCAATTGCATTCTCTCATCTTTTATTCCCCCAAAATGATAATAAATTGATTGTTTACGTTTTATTCATGATGACCTCGTGTTTCCACGGATTAACAAAGCGTTAATTTCTCTTCTTCAAGACTTCAAGAACACCCTGGCGAGCCATATTAACTAGTGTACCATTCTGGGCACTTGTCATTGTTCATTGCGGACAGAATTGGGGATTCTGGATGCTTCTGACTGAAATGCCTATTTATATGGCTGGAGTTCTCGGTTTCGATATCAAAGAGGTGAGTACATAAATATTGACCTCATTATCAGACTATTCACACACATGGCCATTTCCTCCTCATGCCAACTCCTCCCAGAAATGTGTTCTAAACATTTCCTTCAAATTCAAATCTAATTTGTGAAGAACAACTGCATTTTCATAAAATATCTTCAAATCGAATGGAAGAGATCGATTTATTGTAAATAAAATAGATACTCAAAATAAAAATAAAACATTCCGAGACGTGTTTAATCATCCTCATGCAATGACGGTCAGATAATACTGTGTGAAGAGTGCATTCCATCGAGAGTCTCATTGAGATTAAAAACCAAATGATCAATTCTGTCTGAGAAATTCCACTTGATGTCCATTAAAAAAAATGATTATCATAAGATGACGATCCCTTATTTTCCAGAATGGATTGAAATCTGCACTTCCTTACGTAACGATGTTGATCCTGACGTTCCCAGTGAGTTGGCTGTCAGATTTTGGTGAGAGAAGAGGAATATCTCGTGGATTACTACGAAAAATCTGCAATACAATTGGCCACTGGGGCCCAGGTATCGCTCTCGTTGGCATCTGCTTCGTACCACCTGGTGACACAACTTTACCAGTTGTTCTTCTCATTCTGGCTGGTGGATTAAATGTCGGAGCTATCTGCGGATTTCAGATCAATCACATGGATCTCAGTCCCAAATACGCTGGACTCCTGGTGTCATTCACAAACTGCGCAGCATCAGTCGTCGCCTTGCTAGCACCTCTGATTGTTGGAGCCATGGTTCCTGACTCGGTAAATATCATTCTAACGATTTCAATAAAAAATTAATAACTTATAATTGAAGCAGCGAAAGATTTTAAGTGCCAGATAAGGTGTGGATGAGGCGTTCGGGACGAGACTGTTATCGCGGATTGTCTTGCATTATTTGAATAATTCAAATGATCATGAATAATTTTATCTTCAGGAAAGTGCGGATCAGTGGTCAATTGTTTTCTACATGTCCGGTGGCATTTACTTCCTGGGGAATCTCATCTTCATACTGTTTGGAAGTGGCAAGACCCAGTGGTGGGATAACAGTGAAAACAAACATGACGACATGTTCTTGAGGCCTCGTGCATCCTCAATCGTCATTGGTGATGCAATGGCACCTTGAAAATAATCATTAAATAGTGTGCACCCTCGATCCTCTCCTCTTGGAAAAAATACAAAGTCAAAAACCAGAGGAAATATATAATCATATCATATACATATACCATTAAAAATGGTGGAAATAATTTCTACAGTGTAGAATTGACATGCCATTTTTTGAGATTTTTTTCTTCATGATATCACTCTTAAAATTTTAATCAGAAATTGCAGCGCATTTTGTAATTATACGTTTTTTTTTTACGATTACCATAGAAATTTTTTAATGAAATAGTCTAGAGATAGAAATGTAGTGAATATTTTTCTACAGAACTAGGGATATCACGTGTTATTTATTATTCATTTTATAAGATTGTTTTTATTATAAGATGATATTAAACTCCTTTTGTAATTAATGAAGGTCGAGGTGTGATTGGTTTCTCCTGAAAAAATATTTTCGAGTATTTTTCAATCATTTAATCCAGAGATTGAATCTTGAGCAGGAAATGAGGATTAGAAATGCGATAAAAGAGTCGGCTCATTAATTTTCGACTCTTGAGAAATATTAATCAATATTGTGGGGTGATTATCGATCATTGGCGATTGACGGCTGGAATTTCCTCGGTGTTTGTGTGACAAAGGAAATTAGTGACTGAATATTGACTGAGGAGGGATAAGGGTGGGGGATGTGACAATTTTTTTTCGAAGGAGAAAATTGTGGAAATGTTATTTTTATTTTGCCAATGGATGAGAGCAGTGCAGGATGAGAGGTAGTGAAGTCAAGTGTAACATTGGGACAGCAGATGTAGTCTCTCCAGGTTTGTGAATGACATCAATTAATTTATTTAAAAAATCCACGAGAAAATGAATTACCAGCCGAGAGGTAGCGATTTTCTCCAGAATTCATTGGTCTCTATAAGAATTTTATCTTGAGAATAAACATATTCTCACAGATCTCAGGTATTTTGTGACTTTATTTTGGTAAGAAGGAGTGAAAATGAATTGTTTTATTCTTTTTTATGAGAGAGATAATATAATCAACAGGATGGTGGTGTGCGAGACACTGGCAATGTCTCGTGTTATTCCTGGGCTACACAATTGCCTACACGAATAGAAGTTGTATATCGATAGTGATCATCGCGATTCAGAACGAGAAGAACGATGAAGATGAATTGACATCAGGCAACGTTGGTATAATCCTGAGTTCATTCATATGTGGTTATGCAGTGATGCAGATACCATCTGGTTACTTGGCAAGAATATGGAGTGCCAAAATGGTTTTAGGAATTGGTATACTGATAAATGGTCTCGGTGGTCTTTTATGTCCAATAGTATTTGATGAAGGTGGCTGGATATATCTGTGTGGATGCAGAGTTATCATGGGATTGTGTCAGGCCTGTTGTCTGCCCTGTATTCATACTCTTCTCTCAAAATGGGTGCCCCCGAACGAACGCGGACGACTGGGTAATGATTATTCCCTCGATTATCGTTATTTAAAAAACAAATTGTCCAGTCGAGTGGTGAAACTGGATAAGTCAACGTCATTTCAGCTATCTCTATCTCTCCTAGATCCCGAGATCATTACCGAAAGCTCATCCCCGAGTGAGATTAACTCATTCTATTTTACCACTCCCCTAGCTAATTGTCTCGATCTCCCTGTACTCCTCTCTGACGACTAGTCTTCAACATTTTATTCAGGTACTATGACCTACGCTGGAGGACACTTTGGCACTGTTATCTCGTATCCAATATCCGGGGCTCTGATTGATGCTGCTGGATGGAGAAGTGTCTTTTATTTATTTGGTGCTGCTGCCATCATTTGGTCATTAATTTTCCTCTTCATCGGTTCTGATTCACCAGCTGCATCAGCTGAGAAAGCCTTCTGTGGTATCAGCGATCACGAGAGGCAGTATATCGAGACCAGTCTTGGAGTTTTCGAGGATGGAGTCACGACTGCCACTGACAAAGTGAGTACATCCATTGAATACAGGACTGATTCCATAGATACACGATTCTCATTTTATCTCCAGAATATTAAAACCCCTTGGAAAGCAATACTCACTAGTCTACCCTTCTGGTCACTTCTCATTGCGCATTGTGGAAATAATTGGGCATCTCTCATCCTACATAGCGAAATTCCGCAGTACATGAATGGAGTCCTTGGATTCGGTATCAAAGAAGTGCGTGCTAAATTTAATCTGGAGTATAAAAAATTTATAAAACCTTGTAATTTTAAAATACAGAATGGACTTAAATCAGCCCTTCCCTTCGTTGCTGTTTTACTTTTGACAGTGCCAGTGAGTTGGCTGTCAGATTGGAGTCAGGAGAGAGGAGTATCTCGTGGATTGATAAGAAAATTATGCAATACCATTGGCCAATGGGGAAAAGGACTCGTATTCATTGGCATTTGCTTCGTGCCTCCTAGTGAAGCGACACTATCAGTGATCCTGTTTGTTCTCGCTGGTGCACTGGGAGTTGGAGCGATGTGTGGATTTCAAATCAATCACATGGATCTCAGTCCCCGATGGGCTGGACTCCTGGTCTCAATCACAAATTGTGCTGCAGCTGTTGTTGCTCTCGTAGCTCCTCTGGTGGTCGGCCAGATTGTAACGGATTCGGTAAAACCATGATTTTTCAAAATACTGAATAATTTCATGTGGTGCTCCTGTTGAGAATGAGAAAAAAATTTTCATTCCAAGTGAAATGTTTACTAGAGAATTAAAAGAATTTCAATAAAAATTGTTCTTTCCACAGAGACATGTGGATCAGTGGAGGATTGTGTTCCTCATCTCCGGGGGAATTTGTTTCCTAGGAAATCTGGTGTTCGTTCTCTTTGGGAGTGGTGAGACCCAGTGGTGGGACGAAATCGAGAGCTCAGGGAAAATCAGCAGTCAAAATAATCAGAGGTCCCCGAGAGCTTCTTCGATTATTCCAGATGATGCTTTGATACTTTGAGATAATTTATTTGAAATAAGAAAAATTTAAAAAATTTGTGGAATAATTCTGAATAAAAAAGCTTTCATTAACACGAAAAAATTCCGATAAAATAATTACTCCTATAATAATAATTGCAATGACGAATAATTATGATTGATAATCATTTACAATTAAATATAAATGAAATTGAGATAATGATTGACCGAGAAAATTGGCGCAGTCTAGCTGAAAAAAAAATGGCCGTATCAGATTCTCAAGATTATAAGAATTATTACGGTAATTCCTAGAAGAGTAACAAATGTCGACTCAAATGATTGTAGCGCACCTACTGTTGTGTCATCATAAAAATTCCAATGGTAAATATAAGCCATTGATTATCAAACCTGATGGATTGCAAATTAAACGTACGCAGAATGATTTGAAAAAGTAATATATTCTTTTTCCTTCTTGACATAGGAATTCCGCATACCTGCCGTAAAAATAAAGAGTGGGAGAAACGCCAGCATAACATCGAGCAAATGTGTTCAGAGCGATTCCCTGGAATGCTGCTGATGTGCCAGCATGAGTCTTCCAAAGAGTGACAGTGACACCCCAAAGGAATCCAGCCCTCGAGGTTTGTTTTCAGCTGCTGAAAATATTAATGATTATTATTCACCTGTGGAATGTTGTCGATAGGATTTGGGGTCAGACACTGTCAATGCATCCTGCTATTCCTGAGCTATGGAATTGCCTACACGACCAGAACCTGTCTGTCTCTGGTGATTGTTGGGATCAAGGAAGAGCAGGAGAGTGTAAGTTCCTCATCCACTGACAACCAGAATCTCCAGTTGTCCTAATTAAATAAACCAGTCCATTAATTTCACGATGATTTCATGATTTATTCAAGTTCCAGCAAGATGTCTTGACTCAAGGTCAAGTCGGTGTAATCCTGAGTTCATTCCTGTGGGGCTATGCAATCGCCCAAATCCCGATAGGTCATATGACCAGGATCTGGAGTGCAAAAATGATTTTGGTAATTGGCCTCCTGATAAGCGGTGTCTTCAGCATTTTATCTCCAGTTATATTTGAGAGAGGTGGTTGGGTGTATCTGTGTGTGAGCAGAATTATCATGGGTCTGTGCCAGGCTTGCTTGCCACCCTGCTGTCACACATTATTGTCCAAATGGGCACCTCCCAGGGAACGCGGACGAATCTGTAATCATTCAATGATTTTTATTTTTGATCTAGAACTCAATGATTATCTCAAAATTTACAATTTTTCTCCAGGTTCTGTGGTCTTCTCTGGAGCAACCTTTGGCACATTAATCGCACCACCGATAAGTGGTGTTCTGATTGCTGCTGACGGGTGGCGAAGTCCATTTTACGTGTTTGGAGTTGGTGCTGTTGTTTCGGCTGTTATTTTGCTAATCGCTGGATCAGATTCGCCAGCCACAGCTGTTGGAAAGTTTTGTTGTGGTATCAGTGAGGCTGAGAGGAAATATATCGAGAGCAGTCTTGGATTATGTGAGGAGAAAACGACTGGTGAGAGACAGGTGAGTGTCATCCACTGGCGTCAACGATTCAATTAATTTTATCATTGAGACATTTTGCACGTTCTTTCAATCTCTCTTCTTTAAGACCTCGAAGACACCTTGGAGAGCCATATTAACCAATGCACCATTCTGGGCCCTTCTTACTGTCCATTGTGGATACAAATGGGGGCATTACATGCTCCTCACTGAAATGCCGATCTACATGGATGGAGTTCTTGGATTCAACATCAAAGAAGTGAGTTGGACGAATTTATCCTGAAGGAATCAGAATTCCCATTCATTAGGGATTACTGTTTTTTCGACTCCAGAATATTAAGCATGGAGAGAATAATTAATATTTCTGAATGATAAATCATTGACTAGAGATTATTCATTTTGATGTGCAGAATGGAGTGAAATCAGCGCTTCCCTATATTGCACTGTTGCTCCTCACGATTCCAGTGAGTTGTTTTTCTGATTGGAGTGAGAAAAAGGGAGTGTCGAGGGGATTTTCACGAAAATTATGCAATACTATTGGCCAGTGGGGACAAGGACTCGCACTCATTGGTATCGTTTTTGTAACACCTGGGGATACGACAGTTCCTGTTCTTCTGTTAATTGTAGCTGTTGGATTGGCAGCCCCAACCATGTGTGGATATCAAATTAATCATATGGATCTCAGTCTCGATTATGCTGGATTGCTTGTCTCCATTACAAATGCTGTGTCATCAATTGCTGGACTACTAGCTCCTCTGGTGGTTGGAATAATTGTCACAGATTCGGTATGCGAGTTGTGATTAATGAATAAATTTTATATCACATCCTGTACAATAATTATAATAACCATTTCTCTTTCAGCATGATATAGAGCAGTGGAAAATCATTTTTTTGATCAGTGGAGGAATTTATTTTGTGGGAAATTTCATATTCATTTTATTCGGAAGTGGTGAGACCCAGCAGTGGAACAACAGTGAAGATCGGGGAGAGTTTAATAATGAAAAGTTTCGATCTCGGATATCATCCATTGATTCCAGCTGAATCTGAGGATTTTTTTGTGTGTTGTATTGAATTTTGTGATGAATCTTGAAAATTTATATCATCTTCTCTTAGAATAAATAAAAATCCTCAAATGTCTGCCCTATAACTGCATTTTAAGCTACTCTCTGCGATAATCAGTCCCCCACGTGTCTTTCCCCAAGTCGCACCAGGCAATCCATCACGAATTACATCAGAAATATGTATGAGGAGTATCCGCTGAATTATAAAAGTAAATGGCTGTCAGGAAAAACCATTAGGCCACAGTAACAAAGAATATTCCTATTCTCACCGATGTGAAACCACCGAGTGCACTAGTCACACGATTTGCTCAGATATGTCGTCATCTCAGCCTGAATCTATACCATGCATCATCCCCGAGGAAGATCCACGCTTCTCAGGTATCTGAATATATTCATATCAATAATTACATTTAACAAAATACGAATTGCTTCGAATGAATATTTAATTCGTAGATGAAGAGACTTCTCCAACGAGCGGACTGGGAATCAGACATCTGCAGTGCCTCATGTGCTTTCTGGCCCTAGCCCTGATGTTTACGAATAATATCTGCATGTCTATAGCAATCGTTGCAATGGGAGAGGAAGAAAAAAACGTAAACACTACTATAGGATATATTAAATATTGTTCACAGCTTTTAATTTTAATATTACATTCCAGAAGAGTAAATTGACTTCAGATCACATCGGCCTAATTCTGAGTGCCCCAATGTGGGGATCACCATTGGTTCAAGTGCCAGTGGGTCATCTAGCAAGAATCTGGAGTGCGAAGAGTCTTTTGTCCATTGGTATCTTGACAAATGGAATTTTTGGTCTTCTGTGTCCCATTGTTTTTGACAGAGGTGGCTGGATATATCTCTGCATCTGCAGAGTTGTCATGGGAATGTGTCGGGGTTGTCTGAAGCCGTGCATTCACACGTTGCTGGCAAGATGGGTGCCACCAAACGAGCGTGGACGTTTAGGTAATTCATTAATCTAATCTCGTTAAATATTTCACAAGAATATATTCTAGCAACTGCCACATACATGGGTGTCTACTTCGGCACAATAATTGCGTATCCAATATCGGGGATTCTGATTGGTGCAGCTGGATGGAGATGTCCTTTTTACGTCTTCGGTGCAATCGCTGTTGTCTGGTCAATGATCTTCTTCTTGATGGGGTCAGATTCACCAGTCGAGTCTTCGGATAAGACTTGCTGTAGCATCAGTCAGAGTGAGAAGGATTATATCCAGCGGGGCCTTGGGGTCTTTGAGGAAAGAGCTAACTACTCCCTGGAGGTCAGTGGTTACGATTTATCCTCACGTATAAATCATTTCGTAGACGTTGACCTCCGTCATATGTCTGTCTCGAGGAAAGAATGATGAGTTGTCACTGGAAATCGTTGCCATTCAATTGTAATGCTTTTTGATTTTTTACTTGAAGAACTCAACACCGTGGCGTGCTATTTTGACCAGCAGACCTTTCTGGGCTCTTCTCATTGCGAATTGCGGGTACAGCTGGGGATTTTGGGTGCTACTTACTGAAATACCGATTTACATGGCTGGAGTTCTTCGATTCGACATCAAAGAGGTGAGTAGAATAAATAATTCCCTCTTGATTATCAATAATGGTGTCTCACTATTGGAATTAATCATTCATCAGCTGGAAATTGATGTTCATGATGATAGAATGGTGTAAAATCAGCACTTCCTTATGTGGCATTATTGCTCCTTACATTTCCGGTGAGTTGGATGTCCGATTGGTGTGAGAAAAAAGGTGTGTCACGTGGAGTTGTCCGAAAGGTTTGCAATACAATTGGATATTGGGGACCAGCGGTTGCTCTCGTTGGCATCTGCTTCGTATCCCCTGATGATAGGACTGCACCAGTGGTACTTTTGGTTCTCGCTGTTGGATTGAATGCCGGAGGAGACTGTGGGTATCAGATTAATCACATGGATCTCAGCCACAAATATGCTGGAGTCCTGGTCTCCATTACAAACAGCGCTGCATCGTTTGTGGCATTATTGGGACCTCTGATTGTTTCCCAGATCGTCACTGACACGGTACATTATTCTTCCTCTTTTCCCTGGGAAGTAGAGTGATGAATGACAAAAAGATTTCTTCCTGGTACGACAAAATCATTCGATAATTCCCACAATAATTATTCAAACTCGTTTTACCACTTTTTCTCTTTACTCACGTGTAATTACATATGTAAAAAAAAATATATTCAAGTGACGCATACGCTCGCATTTTCAGACAAATGCATACCAGTGGAAGACTGTTTTCTACATGACAGGAGGAATTTATTTCCTATCGAATTTGATATTCATTTTGTTTGGAAGTGGTGAGCATCAGACATGGGACAATATTCATCACGAGAGGCTATAGAAAAAAAGAAATTGTTAATGTCTGAAGTGTTACAAACTGTCAAATTTGTAATAAATGTATATTTAAATTACTTGTGAGTTATTATTTTCCTTTTGTTTATCCCTCAGGACTGACGCTGAAAACTGAAATAATGATTATTCATTTGCAAATGAACTGTTGCACCATTACAGTTGCATTTACGATAAAACTTGTTGAATTTATTTATTCTCATAAAATAATTGCTCTAAATTAATTGGCATTGAACCATTTCCTCTTTTCGGTGATGATCCGATTGCCTCGAGGCTTCGATTTTCTTCGAGTTCATCTTATCATCGGCGATTGAATCACTCGTTATCGCAATCAGTGAGTACATTTCTCCGAAAGAATTTTCATTCCTCGGCTGGCATTTTTCGCAAAGCAATTATCAATGATTCGACGACAAACAATTGGTACACAGGAAAAATGACGTCTTCATGACGCGTGTCAGACAAGACGATACCGGAAAATAAATGTTGTAATCCTTCAGTGGTGGGGCGTAATTTTTCAATGATTATCCGTGTTAAATTCTGTATTATGGAATCTGGATAATCTACCACTGTTGACTATGACGGATAACGGAGCGGTAACCGTCCCTCGCATACCGGGTAATTGTAACTGTTCAGGTGTAATTAATAAAAAAAAATTCTTTTTCAATTTTAAAATCGTTCACAATTACGTTTTTACCCGCCGCCCATGCACGCGATCATCACTGAAAATTATAACTATTTTCAACGAATATTTAAAAAAAGAAATTACATCAATTTCGAATGAATTTATAATTGATGATTGAATTTTATCGTCTCCCAAAGCTGAGGAAAATCGTCATAAACAATTGTAACTGTTCCCATTATTTTCATTAATTTCATTAACATTTTTTCTCGAATAAGAATTGTTTTCATGATCATTGTGAATTCGGAATTGAAAGAGCGGAATTGAAAAAGCGGATGACTGATTTATGTAGTGATTTATTCGATAGACTCATGAATTATTGATAATAACGCGTAATAATTCTAGGAATTTGAATCTTTTACTGTTGAGATAAAATAGCGTGGGGAAGGTAAAAAATTTGTGATGAATTTGTGCGAAAAATATTAGTGAATACTTAGAATCAGGATCAAATGGTGATAAATATAGTAACACGGAAATAATTGTTATTTCATGTCAATTTCTCAGCGCATGTAATTCAAGGCCATTGGTTTATCCGTTTGCGTAATAAGAAAAATTCGCTATTTAAGTGTCAGTGATAAAGCTGAAGACCCTGAGCTGGTGATATAGTTTCTCACATGTCAAATCACGAGTGATTATAAATAGATCGAATAAATCTCAATTACAACGATCGAAGATCAAACCCAATAAATTTTCAGCAATAATTCCGCAACGACAATGTGTTGATTAAATAATTTTCCAATAGGATTCTTGGGCATCAGGCATTTGCAATGTGTTCTTTGCTTCTTGGGTATTACAATTGCATATGCAAACAGAGTTTGCATGTCTATAGCAATTGTTGCTATCAAGGAAGAGGTAGAAGTGAGTACTCAATCATTTTAAAAACCTCTGTAATTTTCCATCGAATCAATACGGAAATTCCCCGGGAATCACTCAGTTCCCTTTTTCCGTAGAAACTACTCCTTCAAAAATAACATTATCACAAATTGATAAGGAGCACTTGCAATTAAATAATATTCACTTTTCTGTTCTCACGTATTCGTGTGCAGTCGTTACTTTAGTTGGATCATCAATTTTTTTTTCCATCTCAGAAAAATGGTTCTATCCTGGAAAATGTGGGTCCGATCCTGAGTTCGTTCTTCTGGGGCTACACTTTGATGCAGATTCCTTCGGGACATCTGGCTAGAATATGGAGTGCAAAAATGGTTTTTTCGATAGGTGTAATGTTGAATGGAGTTGGTTGCATGCTGTGTCCGATTTTTTTCGACCAAGGGGGCTGGATACTTCTCTGTATCTGTCGTGTGATCATGGGACTCAGTCAAGCCTGTTGTCTTCCCTGCATCCACACTCTTCTCTCAAAATGGGTACCACCAAACGAACGTGGACGACTCTGTGATTATTTTATTTTATTCCATTAAACTCCATCCGACCCGGCTAAAAAAAATTCTAATCGAAATATTTTTTCCAAATTTTCAAAAAATTTCTGGAAAACTTTTCAGCCATTTTTTTTTTATAAAACAAAAAAAAAACGTCAGGCAACAAAAAAATTTTTCAGAAAAGTTTGGAAAAATTTTTCAAAAATTTCAATAGGAAAATTTTTGAGAATATTGAAAAATCAAAACGGTAAGAATAAATCAGTATAATCAAAAGAAAAAATTATATTCGCAAAAATTTCTAGAAAATGGTAAAAAAACTTTTGAAAACATTTCCCAAAAATACAATTGTTTTGTTTCCCGATTTTTTTTTGTTTCAAAAATAAATTTTCTGAAAAGTTTTCCCAAAATTTTTTGAAAATTTGAAAAAAAAATTTTCGATTAAATTTTTTTTACCCGGGGGTTCCCCCAATAATAAAATTAATACCTCAATTACTCCAATTCAGGCACCATGACCTACGCTGGAGCACAATTTGGAACGGTCATCTCATACCCAATATCTGGAGCAATGATTGAATTCTCCGGATGGCGAAGTGTCTTCTACTCCTTTGGAGCAGTGGCCGTCATCTGGTCATTATCATTCTTCTTCATCGGTTCTGATTCACCAGCCGCATCCGCTGGAAGCTCTCTCTGTCGTATTGGCGATACCGAAAGAAAATATATCGAGTGCGGACTTGGGGTCCACCAAACGGAAGACTCAGCCGAGAAGAAAAAGGTAGAGCTGAATAAATAAATCATAATCCCAGATATTGTGCTCAAGTCCCATTATCCAGCAGATTCCAAAAACACCATGGGGATCAATATTGACGAGTCTCCCATTCTGGTCACTCGTGGCTGCCCATTGTGGACAGAACTGGGGCTTTTGGACATTAATAACGGAAACATCTATTTACATGAATGGAGTCCTGGGTTTTGACATCACAGAGGTTCGTAAATTCATTCCTCAAGTTGAGATAAAAAATTTTATCCTGAAATGACAGTAATATTCGACAAATTATGCACAACATCGAGTCATGAGCTGTCAATCCAATAAATTCAAGTTGACAGATTAATTTGTTTGCCAGAATGGACTGAAATCAGCCCTTCCCTACCTCGCGATGCTGTTCCTGACGTTTCCAGTGAGTTACCTATCGGATTGGGCCCAGACCAAAGGCTTATCACGTGGAGCATCTCGAAAAATCTGCAATACAATCGGCCACTGGGGCCCAGGACTCGCCCTGATCGGCATCTGCTTCGTGTCCCCTGGTGACACGACGACTCCAGTGATTCTCCTGGTGATCGCTGGCGGATTAAACGTCGGGGCTGTCTGTGGATTCCAAATCAATCACATGGACCTCAGTCCTAATTACGCTGGACTGCTCATGGCATTCACAAACTGCGCTGCAGCTATCGTCGCTCTGCTCGCACCTCTGATTGTTGGAGAAATCGTCACTGACGACGTAAATATCGGCTTCAGAACTTGAACAACTCTCGAGTGATGGAATCGGTGACGAATACCGGAATTAATTCGGCAATGATCGCCTTGCCTTCAGCCTCTCGATAATTCTTTATTTTTTCACTGGATAATTCCAACTTATGATTCCTCTGGTGCTTCCAGATGATGAAACATGCCTAGGGAATCGTAATCGCCTCTCATACGTGACGTGTGTTCACTGATTCTATCACTTCAAGTTAATCTCCTAAATCTTGATTTACACCGTTTTATCATTTCGGAGGGAAAATCTTCTGAAATATCGAGCATCAATTGGTTATTGAATTATTAAACAAATCGTTATCTTTTTCCCTTTCAGAAAAATGCTGACCAATGGAAAATCGTCTTCTACCTGTCCGGGGGTATTTATTTCGTTGGGAATTTAATGTTCATCATTTTCGGCAGCGGAGAGACTCAACCCTGGGACGACATTACGAAATCCAACCGGAATGATGAAGGAGTAATTATAAAACTCCGATCATCAGCTAGTGCTGAGGATACTCTGATTGCCTAGCAATCTCTCATCGTATCGATAATTATTTAATAAATCAACACACTTAGAAGACTTTCGTAATGAAATAAAAACTTTTTTTGAGAACGCCGTGGATTGTTCGTGAAATTACGAGAAAAATCCTGCGACTCTCTGGAGGATTGCTATTAGATGAATGCTCGGGGTTTATCGAACGAAATCGATTGTCCTCGATATCACGAGATTATTCTTTATCTCTACACGGGATATGTAGTAGACGTAAAGAGCTCTGATTGATAATGTGATTATGCATTTGCTTCGGATCAGAAGCACCTCTGATTAATCTTTTTGTAATCATTTGAAATCATTTGAAAACATTGAAGATATTTTATTTTTATATTATCCTCATTAATAAATATATAATAAATTAAATGAATTCTTTGCAGTTTTAAAATTCCCATAAAATCCCATCGAAATATTGTCTCCACATACAATTGAATCGGTGAGCTCTAGCCCTAGATGTCTCCTAATTTTAATTTTATGCATCGGACTCTCTATTTTTCAAATAAAAATTTTTCAAATAAAAATTTGATTCCGCGCGGAGAAAAAAATTCTTCTGTTTCTTTTCTCTTTTCTGAATGGAAGGAGGTAGTCTTGGGGAATCATCTAGGTCGTCTCCGATAAATCGAGTGGGGGAAAGAGCTGAACAATTTTATGATCGTCGAACGCCGATCGATTCATTTGAAGATTGAGAGTTGAATTAAAAACACCGGTTTCAGTGAGAGAAACGTAAAGGTTTTATTTAATTGAGTTTGTTTTGGGACCCGATTTTTATATCAGGGGACTTATCGGTATCAACATGACGCATGGACCGAGGACCCGGAGGATCTCCAGAGTGGAGAACATGAAAGTCCCTCCACGAAGACCAAGTGGTGAGGCAAATTAATTTTCATTTCATAAATTCAATAATTTATCACCTGTAAATCAATTCTAATGGTTGAATCGTTCCTGAGCTAGTCAACAAATCATAATTTTTCAATCAATTGCAAAACAAATAATTCCTATCCGCATTCAGAGAATATTTTCCACTCGATCGTAAAAAACATTACGATAGATTTTAGTTATTGAGTGTTATCGAGTACTCAACATTCTCCGCTCGGTTTATTTACAATTGCAACATTCCTCCATCATCAGGGATAACATGTTAAATAATAAATAATATTATAAAAAAAATAACGATGTGGGCTGGGATTAACATTACAGCCTGGTTTGGCTGCAGACACATGCAGATTCTCCTCTTGACCCTAGGATTTTTCACGTGCTACGCAGTGAGAGTTGCCCTGTCCATCTCCCTCGTGGCAATGACCAACTCCAAGCACGCGAATCCGGATTTTACAGTAATTAATTAACCCCCGTTATCAATTTATGGATTTAAAAATACTATTGAAAATTTTTTGCGCCTTCAGGAATTCAAATGGGACGATGCGACTCAGAACACTATTCTGAGCTCATTCTTCTGGGGATATGTAATTACTCATATACCGGGTGGTGCTCTAGCTCAAAAATTCGGAGCTCAAAAATTATTTGCACTTGCTGTTGGCCTCTGTGGAGTAGTGACGATGTTAATTCCAACGGCGGCGATGTACGGAGGATGGCAAGCTGTCGTGGTCCTCAGAATTCTCACCGGATGTTGTCAGGGTGTTGTACCCCCATGTATACATACCCTGTTATCCAAATGGATACCCCTGGAGGAGAGGGGAAGAGCAGGTACCTCAAAACATGAGCTAATTACCCACGATAAGTCCATAACGAAATTATCAATTCAATAACATGATCAAATCCGTGGAATACCATTAAGAATCGATTTATCTAGAAAACTATTGGTTCCAGACAAAAATATTAGACGACCTTTTTTGTCGGGAATTTAATCAGCGACAGAAAAGTTATCTACCGTATTCCCCTTCGATCGATAGTTTTCGCGATAATTCGGTAATTGAGAAACATGTCGAAATTGATTTCTGTAGATAAAGAAAAAAATAGAGAAGTGATTAGATAATTGGGAATGAATTTTTCAAGGAAGCTGCACTTACTCCGGGGGTTGGCTAGGAAATGTAATAGCCCTGTTAACGTGTGGAGAATTATCGAAGTCAGTTCTTGGATGGCCAGGGAGTTTCTACACTTGGGGGGGAATAGCCTTCCTCTGGGCCGTCATCTTCCTGATCTTCGGGAAAGATTCCCCAGGCGATCACCCGAAAATTCCACAGGACGAGAAAGAATATATTGAAGTGAGCTTGGGAGTTACAGAAACCGTCGAGGTACATCCGCTGAATTTATTTTACCGATTAAAAAAATTGATCTCTAAAATCTGATCTAAAAATATCCCAAGACAAGATTTATTTGCGGAGTGAGGAATAGAATGAATTTTCTTGCTCTTGGAAAGATTATTGCCTTTGATAGTATTAATTAATTTTTTATTGGACGATTGTATTGGATATAAATTCTCATTTGTAGACATTAAAAACACCTTGGGTATCGATCATGACCTCGATTCCTGTCTGGGCACTGCTGATTGCTCAGTGCTCGCAGGCCTGGGGCTTCTGGATGCTCCTCACCAAGACACCAGCCTACATGGACAAGGCACTGCATTATGATATCGACGAGGTGAGTGAAAAAAATTGTCCTATTCGAATTATGCTCTCAGCAAATTTCGGAATTTTTTCCAAACGCTTCTCTCACTCTGGAAATAAATCTTCCATCAGTACCGAAGGCTCAACGTCGATTAGAAATTGTCTAATCTTCGCTTTCACGGTCGCCCAATCACCAGTGATCACCACCTGAATATCAATAAACTTCCGATGAAAATAGAAGGATCGAAATTGATTATTTTGTTTGCGATTGTGTGAATGGAAGGCCAGGATAAGGTGATCGTACGTGAACGGAATGAGATTCAACGATAGTGTCTACGGTCAAGGCTGATGAAATTCCTAGGTGTACATCAGAAATTTCGATTGACTGATTAATTGAATTTCTCACAGGAAAAATAATGCGAAGTACCACAATTCCCACTCCTTCGATCGCGATAATAATGAGCGAGTTATCACGATTATTTATTCTTGTTTAAAAAATCGATAGATTTCGAATTAAAAACCAGAGAAACAAAATTTTCTGTCCAGAAAACTTTCCTGAAAACTTTATCAAAACTTCACCGGCAAAAATGGTAACCCATGTTTGAGAGGGACGAGTGAATGTGAAGGGGAGGCTGAATGTTATTTATTAAGGCAAAAAAAAAATGATTGTTTGTTCTCAGAACGGGCGAGTGTCAGCACTACCATATTTGGCAGCATGGCTACTTGGTTTTCCCATAAGTTACGCATCGGACAGGCTCGTTAAAGCCGGCTACGTATCCCTAGTCACCATGCGAAAGATAGCAAATACGATTGGTGAATTTATTCCAGCAGCTGCATTAATTGGACTTGGATACGTTGACAGTGAGCATCGGGAAATTGCGGTCGGTGTCCTTGTCACATCGGTGGGATTCAATGTTGCTGTATTTAGTGGCCATCAGATGAATCACATGGATCTCAGTCCAAATTTTGCTGGTATACTCATGGGAATCACCAACGCCGCTGCCAATATCTGTGGAATCGCAGCACCTCTCATCTGTGGACTCATTGTTACCAATACCGTGAGTATTTTAATATCGAATTTATTCTTCTGCTACCCAATGGGATTGACTTGATATCAAAATTATTTTATCTCATTCAGAGTGACGTACACCAGTGGAGAAAAATCTATTTCATATCCGCTGGAATTTATGTGATTGGAAATTTGGCATTCGTGCTGTTTGGAAAGGCAACTGTACAGCCATGGAATGACACAACTACACACATCGAGGATCACGAAATCTCCACAATCCCTGAGGGACCCAAAAGTCTCGATGAGAAAGGCATTGCCGAAAAGAGTGAAATTATCCAGTAATTCTGTGATTCTTGGAAAATATCCGAGTAATTCACAGATGAATTTGCATTTCACATCATCATAATGTAGATAATTAATATTTATTTCAGGTAATTTAAGAATACACCCTGTAAAAACGATCAACATGAAATCTTTGGAATTTTTATTCGCATATCATGATTATTCAGTCAATCTTTCGTCGTCGGTTCGAGCTGGATCTCCACAAGGTCTTCAGGACCCATATCGTCCCCACTGAGGTCACAAATAATGTAATGCAGGTGACGAAATGCCTCTGGGAAGAATCTCCAACTGGAATTTTCCACTCGTAAGGTTTTGTTCGCTGAAGAAAAATTAAATCGCGCGTTATCTCCATTCTAAAATTTAATTAAATTGGGGGGGGGGGGGAATAATTGACTCACAGTTTCGTAGGGAATTTCTCGCCATTTGATGGAGAGATCGACACAAGGTGCACAGAGATCCATTTTTGAGACAGGATATTCTTTGACTCGATTTTTGCAACCGAGAAGTAATTTGGGAGTTGGAAAAATCACGGAGAGGAAATCTCCTCCCTTTCTAGCTCGATGATACCTCTGATGCACTGGGAGGCTGAGAATACTATTGGTTTCGTTCAATGCTGAGCAAATTGTTACACTCTGGGGTTTAGCCTCTTCCGCGAAAATTTCAACATCCGTTTCACCCTCAGAGCAAGCTGTCACCTTTAAAAATATTTAATAAATAAATGAGAATTGATTCCGCAAATTCTGAATTTATCACCTGAGGAATAATTTTGCTGATTCGTTCATGAGAATTATATAAGGTGGAAAAATGGAAGGAATTGCACGAGAATTTAATGAGAAAAATATTTTTTTTTCTAATTACCTCACCGGTCCTTCTCAAATCCGCGAGTTCGTCGACGTTGACGTACAAAGACTGCGGTAATTCCACGACCAATGCCACATGACAATCACTTTCCCTCAAATTCGGTATGTCCACGAAATAAAAAATTTTCCTGCGTTGACAGGTGAAAATAATTGTTGTTAAAAATTCGAATTGAGTGACTGTAACCTCTCACCTGTGAAATCCATCTCCATCGATGTGAAAATCAACTGTGGAGTCAAGTAAATCGGAATTCGTCGGGCTAAAAAATATTAATAATGTGAAAATGTTAATTACAAAGGGAACAATTTTCATTTCAATTGACAGCATTTTCATGGCGTTATCTGAGAGTAAACAACCGGTCAAATCAGCTGATGTGGCGAACCGATCGAGAAATCGAAAATTCACGAGTTGACGAAGAGATGGCGCCATTTGTGTGTCATTCTCCAATCGTTGGGATTCCCTGAGGAAACTACAATTATTCTTTATTCCTTGATTGATCAAAATCATTCAAAGTCATGAATTGATAGGAATTTTCAAAATTATTGATCAATTTTTTTCAATTCGCTATCCCTTCCAGATTCAGAGATTCCTCTAAACTTCATTCAGGAAATAATGATTCTACCCAAAATAATTGATGAAGTTTAAGAATAGAGAGATATTTGGGATTTTTTTATTATTCTGAAAGTGAATGGAATTTATTTGACAGTTAGATCTATAAATAGTTTAATTGGAGTTTGTGAATGCCTTATCACGGAGTGAATTCATCATCGATTATCAATTAATTGCAGACTCTTCCACTCGAGCTCTCCAAAAATATCCCAACGAAATCTATCCAATGCAGATACCCATTTCCTCTCGAACGAATAGATATGATCAGATGTATCCATTTACCTCGGTCTAGTGATAGTATTCTCATGATAAAAATTGACCGGAAATGGAGATTAAAGTGAAAGAAAAATAGAACATTCTGTGGCTGAGAAAATTCTCAACCGAATATCTGAGTGATTTATCAAATAATCACGAGTGGCTATTATTTCTCAATGGAATAACGACATGATAACTGAATTGAACAATAAGTCAAAATGTCAATCCGCTGTTCTGAAACTCAGGAGTTTTTTCGTGCATTAAAATGCGTTTGGAAAATGTCTAGACGACAGTATACAACCAATTTCAGATACCAAGGCACTTCATAACTTATATCAAGTTGAAGTTGACGGAAGTATCGCGGGTCTCGAGTCTAAGGGGATAGACGGATTCACCCCTCACCCTCTTTTTTAACTCCCAAACATCTCACGACATGGAAAAAAAAAGTCTGGAAAAACATGAGAATAAAATGAAATGCAGTTTCAAACATGAGTTTCATGCCCGAGTGAAGTTTTAACGTTCTGAGGAATAAACTGGAAATAAAAATGGAGTCTAAGAAGTATTTTCCACTAGCTCGAGAGCTGGGAAAAGCGTTTGAATATTTTTCCACCGATCAATTCGAATCGATCAATTGGAAAATTATTTCCTTGATTAATTCACGCCCTCAATTGATTATACAATTAATTTTCAATAAATCTCTGGATTAATTAACTATTTTTAATGGTATATTTTTAATGGAAGCACAGAATGGAAGTTGGTGTAGCCCATTTGGAGACTTGTACCCTGGACTTGAGTCTTGTCGTTTCTCGTCTGTTGGAAAATAAAGGGCATTCTGTGGAAGGGCATGAGAGGGACGTGTAAGGCTCGTTGGCGCGTCGACTTGGAGGGGCCCCTGATAAATAAGCCAAACAGTGCAAGCTGAATAATTCATCCAAGTCGTTGGGTATTTCTGTGTATTTGTGTGTGCTTGTAGGTGGCACATTGAGCTTTGCAACGGTAAGCAAGCTGAGTCGACCTGAAACAGACAACCAGCCCCCCAGTTGGTTGGAGGGAATCAAGGGGGATAAACAATAGAGACGGAAGAGAGTCCCTTGCTGACTTCAACAACACCTCCTGTATTTCATTTGCACCAAAACTTGCTGATTTTTTTTTTTTTTTCCAAACTTATTTTACTCTCTCCACCAGCCGACTGTCAAGTGGCTAAATCTTATAACTCCACTCCATCGCCATTTTACCAAGTCAATTTTTTTTTACTCCACTTACCCGATTCCTCCGAATTGAAGGGAGATGGTTTTTTAGGCTGTCGTATTTTTCTATGAAAAATGTTAAAATAAAAAATTCACTGTGTACTGGGTTCTGTCTTTTGTTAATAACATTTTTATGACGTTTGAATTTTATTAGAAATTTGGTGGGTTAAAATATTGGATGACGATTTGAGGGCTTGGATGGTGAGTTAGTGAATTCAAGAGGTCGAGAGGGGAAAATCGTTGCAGCGGATGAGTGGAAACAGAGGAGTAGTCCAGTTTACTCGTTGACCTCGGGATCAAGCCCTAACGAGCCCTTCAGACCCCCCAAATACTGGACGTTTCCAGTGGCGGTTCGTTTGCTTAGGATAATTTCAAGCCCGCATGTAAATTGAAGGCCCTCCGATTCGTTTACTTCCCTGTCCACCGCAAACGGATGTCAAACTTTTTTTTTCATCCCGGACTTATCGCCAATATGTCGAGCTGCATTTTATTCAAATGCTGGATTAATATTCGCCGAGTTTTCAGCGATGGGAATTCAATGGAGATGTATAATACGAAAAAGTTGTCTCATTATCTATTTTTTTTTAGCTCACGTATTGTACCGGCGTAAAAAAAAATTGCAATCGGAATATTTTTTCGAATTTTCAAAAAATTTCTGGAAAACTTTTCAGAAAGTTTTTCCTTTGAAACTAAAAAGAATGGGGAAACAGAACAATTTTATTTTTGGGAAATGTTTTGAAAAATTTTTCAAAAAGTTGTTTTGCACATTTTTTTTTATCAATTTCTAGAAATTTCTGCGAATATAATTTTTTCTAATTATACTGTTGTTTTCTTACTTTTTCAATTTTTGAATATTTTCAAAAAATACGACATTTAAATTATAAAAAAAATTTCCTATTCAAATTTTTGAAAAATTTTTCAAAACCTCTTCCGAAAATAAAATTATTTTGTTTTCCGATCTTTTTTTGATTCATAAACAAAATTTTCTGAAAAGTTTTCCAGAAATTTTTTGAAAATTTGGAAAAAATATTCCGATTGCAATTTTTTTTTACCCGGGTAGTTTATTATTTTCGGGAATACATCGGATTTGTTGAATTTTTTGGAGAGACAGTTGGGGATTTTTGCCGGTAGTAGAATTTTTATAAAAAATTTCCTGCACATCAGTGTTGGCAGGATTTTCCACTCCTTCCTACGTATGGTTTTATACTTATGGATGATCTTGCTACCCACCGTAGGATGCATTTTACCTGCGCTTATTTTCACCAGCCACTCATAAAGAATATGTTCCACTCCACCAGCAACAGCTCCACAGTCTATAAAATTCGGGTGAACTCCAGATTTGAAAAATCTTTCGCAATAAATCCCCGATTTTTTTTCAACTTGAAAATCTGTTCAATTTTTTCCATTAAAACTTAAAAAAAAAATCCGTGAACGTCCCAAAATCCTATAATTACCAAATAAAATTTTCCTCTACCAAAAATTTTCTATCTTCAATTTCCTTCATCATTCTCCATTTTCCATCGCATAAATTTCCGTGAAAATTTTTCAAACCACATCGGCGCGCGGCCATTGAAAAATCTTCACTCAGCGTAAAATTTTCAATTACCCCACCCCC